TTTTTGGGATTTTGCCGTTTGTAAAGAAATTGAAGAAATTGTTGAAATCACGAAAAAAAAGTGTGCAATTTGCTGAAACATTGTTATTCGTAAATACAGCTAGTTTGCTCAAGCAGAGACATTTTTTATGAGCTATCACTATTTTTGGCATTATTTAGAAATGAGACATGTCTGAATAAATGATTATGTCTATAGATTTATCTTAAAATCTTCTTGTTATCTTCAAATGGTTATGGATGTAGATAAAAGTATATAGACAAAATTTCATAAACTGTCATAAGATATATGTACAAAATACATTTTTGATGAGTTCAAAACCTTCTACCTAGTCTGATAAGTATAGTCAGTCACTGGTATTAAAGATTATCCTCTGGGCCGGCCTTGTATAAAAGTGCTGTAATATACGAGGCCACTATACTCATTATCCCCGCAAAAACAATTGGACCAGAATTCTCACTGGGTTCGTTCAGGATCAGATAGTCAAGACTGCTTTCCACTCAATTTGTAGCGATCCAAAACTGTGTGTACCAATATGGGGGTATCTAATTTTGTTCGCCTATTTTACACCAAGTTGTGTAAAGAGACTAAAACCTATGGGGTATGGACAGTCCCCAAACTCGTAATAGAACTAAAATAAGGAAATCGGAATAAAATTATGGCCTAACCCTAACCTGGTACACACACTACGGGAGTACCAAATTTGTTTTTGTTTTCCTTGAATCTCCGAGAAAATTTACTTTTTTTTTCTCGATGGTGTTAGATATAGTGACCACACACGCACATCTGTTTATTTGTTAGTTATTCTGCTGTGTAAACAAGCCTTTGCAAGAGCCCGCAACGATTTTAACGCGACTCATTAATTCTGTAAAAATCTATCAACAGCTGTCGGCTCCATTAGAAGTAGAAATTGAGATGGTTGACAAATTGGGGGTAGGCCGAAATGCTAACGTCGGCGCTATGGTCTGGAGGTTAATGCGTTTGATTTAACTGTCTTTGCATCGCATATTACGCACCTCCGGTTCAGATCCCGCGCCCTCACATAAACCAAGGTGTCATGAATTGGAATCTCTTGTACAAAGCTCGCCTTAATACAAAAATCCGATATTTGAGAAAAACATCCCCCGCTAAGTTTTAAAATAAAAATGTAGTAATTATTTAAATTGAGGTCGGGTTAGGAATGATTTATAAATTTGAATTTTCAGCGCAACCTACATTCCTAACCCTCACCCCAACCCTAAATGAATAATTACTCTTTTTTTTTGAAGGGGTTTGTACAAAGGATCCATAAATTGGACCGAACCGAAAAAACCTCCGGTCATTCTAAACACAGTAGCACCTTATACTTAACGGTATATGTTAGGTATGTTTGTACTAGGCTTCGGTCGAAGCAAAAGGCGTGAGTATTCGTCAAATGGAAAAGTTTGGGCAGAGCTTATATATTATTCGTTAGGTCAAAGTTGTATTGAATACAAATTACTATCTATGCAGGTATACAGTGTTTAATAACAGCCATTCCATATTATAAACCAGTGGTGGGCAATTACTTTTCTGAGTAGGCCAGTTGCAGATAATAGGCTCGGTTACAGGGCCGGAGGATCCAAACTCAATTTGAAAAATTGGGAATAAAAAAAAGTTTATTTACAACAGCTAATCCAACAGCTAGGCTAACGTTTATATAATAATTTCCAACTGAAATTTATATCCATAAAAACTATAGTCGTAATTCGGAATCAAGTGGGCCGGATGAAACGCGGGTGCCGAACCGCGGGCCCTAATTTGCCCACCACTGTGATAAACATTGAACAATGTGTCTGAATTTTCTGTAGGATCACACAACATGTACTATTCTGGAAATATTAGAATCATTCCTGTTATGAAATGGCTAACCAATTTAATTATACCCATGGTGGGGACGTGAAGTCAGGGTTTGAAGCCGGATTTGATACTGTAATAATCACTTTTCTACAGCACTCACGGGATCAACTTTATTGTTTAAGTTCATATCCATCCTATGATAACTCAGCAAAGTTTTGAAGATATATTAGCATATAAGCATGTTCATATAATCATGTCGTATTGTTGTGGGATTGGCAACGTACGTAATTTTGTGCAAAGTGCATCTCCATAATATGATGCTAACAAGATAGCAAATTACGTACAATGGGTTTACTCAATCAGTTGCAAAATTTTCATTTTTTTTCTCTGCAAACCTTGGGTACATTGAAGGTTAATTTGTCTATGTGCTTTGGGAAACATACCTGATGTAATTAGTGCTGCAATCAATTGCGATTTTGTCAAGTTAAGTTTTTTTAACTCAGAGAAAGGTATAATTAGGCGGCTATTTTAGTTCTTAAAACTTTCGATTCTCGACATGGTTAATGATAGTCTCGAAATTTACATGACGTAATGTTAATGAGCTAAAATGAAAGTTACAGTTTTAAACGAATCTATCTAAAATACTATTCTTTGAGTGCAATGTCATAATGGTCAGTTAATAGGAAGGACATTGTCTTGTTGGGAATACATCTCATCCAGAATGTAATAAGATTTGAAGGCCAAAGTACATATATTGATATTTTAATGCAATGGCGTAGTGGACACTTTATTGGGCATAACCATGTTGATTCGCGTAGGTTGTGAATACATTGGGTTCAAACTGCATTATTTCATCTTGAATGTAATAAATTAGTCCAAACCCAACAGTAACGAAATAGCTGGCAGCATTCGTCTGTTAATCTGCCCGTGAGCGAGATTTTCATTTAATTCCTATTTAGATATTCCGTGCTCTCAAGAAAAAACATCATTTTTAGAAGTCCTATATCATTTTCTATATGATGACTTGAAGTGCATTTTTTCTTTGTTATTATTCGGAATGTATGGATTATTAGGGATAAGAATTTAATCCATTGTGATTATATCTACTATTGAGTGGAAAAGTGAGAAAATACTGATTTTGAACTATATTCGATACTCTAAATTATCATTTTGTTTTGATTACAACAGTGACCGTTATACTTGCGTGTGTATAATGTAGCATTTCACGGTGGCTCAAAAGTAGAGTAAAAGTTACTAACGATTTATCATTACTAATTATTTTCTAATTAAATAATTAATTTAACAACCCTTGCCTACCGTTGGGTAACCATGTGAGGTACATGAAATGGTTTTATATCCAAATTTAGTTACGTCAGTAAAACATATACAACAATACAGCAATGATTGAAAATAAATGTCGTGTCACATAGACTATATGATACACACAGCAATGACCGAAAAAAAATGTCGTGTCCATAGGGCGTCGCCGCATTATCAAAATATGATTTCACAACATCGTTTTGACATTTCGTATTTATTTTCATTGTCAAAATGTCTTCAAACACTCGGGGATTTGAGATAAAAGTATCCGTTTATCGCATAAGTTACCAAACGCTGTCTCATCATCTATTTTTTTGTGTTTTTACGCTTTGAAATTAAATCCCCCAAATCTAAAAGTAAACAAATTACAGCGTCGACAAATTTTGTTTACATTTTAATTCAATTTGCGTGTTAGAATTTAACGAAAATATTCCAAAAATATCTTTCAAACTCTTAGTTTAACGCGGCTATGCTATTGTTACACTAATAAATGGCTACTACACGTTCCCAGGTTGTTATATGGCAGTTATCGGTAAATAACAATAGCAATATCTAAAACTAACTGGCATTTGAAAAGTTATATTCAGTGAACTAATGTTTATGTTTTGCATGGTTTGCATGAGGTAACCTAGGGGCTCCGAAAGCTCTTCGCTTACCTATTTAAATACTGAATATTTTCTGAATATAAAACAGCAAATACATCCGAGTCATTAAAGAAAGTGGTTTTAGTTTAATCAGAGCCAAAACATCTTTATTTTTTCAAATTTTTTTTTTTTTTGAATGTACTGTAGGCTTTGTGAATAATATTCAACCTTTATCAGGGGCTCCGTGTCACCAAAAGTTTAAAAACCCATGTCGTACATGATATGTCTTATTTAATTCAAAAATTAACGTGACCTCGGGCAAGCATTTTGTGATGGCCGAACAAGTGCACAACTTCGTCGGTCAATTTCTTTATATCTCCTGCCTTCTTTCATTTTTTGCGCAAGTCTTTAATGGTCTGCTATATAATCACTTACGTCACGACCACTTAGATTAAGTAGTGCTTGATAGCTGTCTAAACATACACAGATAGCTATCTGAATTGTTTGTTTTGGGTGGTCTTTAATCGTCTTTTTCCCCAGGGTCACGCTTGTAATTCGGAAGAGTTGATACGACTGATTTACGATGATGTAATTACTTTTAGTTTATTTAATAAAACCGGTGCGGCGCAACTTTGCATAAGTACAAGTACTTCTCGTAACGATTGTTACCAACAGAGATTCATTCTTTGCTTCTCTTGCATTTGTCAAGTATACATGACATTACCGATGTCTAGACTAGTCGTTATCAAACGATCAAACAATATATGGTAAAGATTTGATGAAACATTCCAAAGACTCGAGGAACCACCGTGCAATAGCTTAATTGGTATTGTCTGGATTGTATATATAAAGCAAACCAAATACTAGCAAAACAAATGACATTTGAAATGTCGGAAGTTTAATGATAGTGACAAAACTAATAGGTATTTGGTTATAAATAAACAATATACGGGGCTCCCGAAGTATGCGAACCAAGATGGCGGACATCGGAATGTAATATGTGTACTAGGTTAGGGTTAGGCCATAATTTTAACTATAAATACTACGGGAGGCTCTTGGCTAGTCTTCGAACTGATAATAGGACTAAAATAAGGAAAATTGGAAAAAAATTATCGCCTAACCCTAACCTGTTACCCATGTTACGTTCCGATGTCCGCCATCTTGGTTCGCATACTTCGGGAGCGCCCAATATACATATATTAACAAATACTCTTGGCTTGGACTGCACTTGGAGAACCCCTGTCGAAAATCACTGGTCTAAACTGATCATATATCATTCAGGAGAAACACGAAGCATTGGTCACCGACCACAAAGCATTGAAGCAACAATCTCAATCACAACAAGAACAGATTAAGATTCTTCAAACAAAAATGGAGGAGATGGTTCACAGAATGAATAGAATGGCAGTAGATATACAACTTATGGTAAGAAATGTTTTAATGATTTACAAACTTAAAGAACAGCAATGAGATTCAATATTTGAAAAACGGATTCTCTTTTGGGTACTCCCGTAGTATATGTACCAGGTTATGGTTAGGCCATAATTTTATTTCAATTTTCTTTTTTTTTAGTTCTATTACGAGTTCGGGGACTTCTGTGCGAGCCCCCTGCCCATAGGTTTCAGTCCCTTTACACAACTTGATGTGAAGTAGGCGAACAATATTAGTTACCTCCATATTGGTATACACACTTCTGAAGCGTCCTTTTTTGTATATAACTCACTAACAACAGGTTACCTCATTTAAGAAAATATATGTATTTTACCACGTAAGCTAGTTGCCAGCTGATGATCTATTTGATTCGATCGCCTAACGTCTAAAGCAAAAACAATTCCGGTAATTATCATGACATTCCAATAACAGATTCGAGCGAACGCGTCCATAAGGTCCTGTATTGAATTAAATAAAAGAACATTGATTGATGGGCATATCAAGCATGTAGCATAATAGCTCATAAGCTAAGTGAGTTAATAGTCTTTCTGCACACTAACACAACTTTATTTCTGTAATATTTCGTCTTTAAACATGAACATGAACATTTCTTATAGGAAGGAATCAAGGATTGATATTTAGTATCGTACGTAACCCATCTGATTGATATACTAGCTCATATATATTGTTAATTTCAGGGAATAGACGACGAAAAGGATGAAGTTAATGATACAGCTAATTCTTCATTATCAGAATCTCGATGTAAGTGTATAGTATGTTTTATTTTGCGGGTATAGTTTTCGTGAGGAATTTTTAAGCTCATATACATCTTCCCGCGGGAGATAGTTATGTCCGAGAGGATTTCTGAACACCTTGCCGTCGTAAGGTAATTCTCGTAACCGCTGATCAGTTGAGGCATCAATACATCGTCCATTGTATTAAAATTATCAAAAGCCCTTGGTGGTAAATTTGATGAGAATTGGGGCATTATTTTTGAAACTTCAATTTTATTTGATACAGTTTTTGCAAGGTAGCCGCTGACAAGTAGACCGAATGGTCATTTCGCGGTCATCATGTCCGTTCTGGGCAAAGGCATGTATATTTTTTAATTCTTGCTCAAATTTTGTTTTTGTGCCCGTTTGCCTTGGCGGCTAATAGAAAACGCTTTGATCGATTGATTGATGTAGCATAAAAACGAATAAATGGTCAACTATTCCCGGATCTGACTTGGACTGGTAATCATGCGAAGGACCGTAATGCAATTGAGCCGTCGTATTGTCTTCTTCTCCGGGATAAACGCCAAAAGCATTTTCGTACACGCTCACATACTTTGAAAATTCCACTGGAAAAGACATTTATTCATTTTGGAACTTGAACAAGAAGCATTAGCCCTGACGGTTCACGAGTCTATATAATCATATGATCAATATCACCGGTTTCCAACAAGTGGGCCATGGTCCACTGCTGGGACACGGAAGCATTTCCTGGTGTGCCACAAACCTAAGTAAAAATTGCTATAGTAATTGATAAATTAGGTAAACTTGGATTGTAAAAGCAGTAAACGATGATGCTGTTTTTGCTACTGAGTTTTAATTCCCAGCACGTGGGTATCAATGTGGAAGTCTTAGTCCATCTTAACGAGAAAATGTTTTCACTTCCTACTGTAGATTTTCTCTTGCATGAGTAAGTTAATGGGCCACTGAATTTATTGTGCAACAAAAGTGGGCCACAAAAGAGAGAAGGCTGGGAATCACAGATCTATATTGATCCTGGGAAGGGTACAAAATAATCGAATTTTCATCTAGCATTGTAATATGTGGTTTTTAGTGTTTATTGTCTCAAGACCTGGTACGATATTAAAAAAAAAACGTCGAAATAATTGAAAAACGAAATTAAGAAAAATTCAAGCATACGTCAACCCACATGACAGTCATTTGTTATTTGTACTCTTGTCCTTCACAAGCGTATAGCAAACGTTAAGGGTGTGCTGACAAATGTATCATAGATAACCAAACACTAATAAAAGAGGGGTGTCCAAACGGTAATCCTGTAATGTGTGAACCAGGTTAGGGTTAGGCCATAATTTTATTCCAATTTTTCTTATTTAAGTTCTATAACGAGTCGGGGACTGTCTGTTTTGGCCAAGTGAATATACCCCCCCCCCCCCCATACCCCCTCCCCTTGCGAATAAAATTAGTTACCTCCATTTTGATACACACTCTTCTGGAGCGCCGTCAAAACTATTCGATTTAATCTTGAGTGTGAAAATAAGGATCGTGTTGTCAGCTGCAACATAGCAGTCTCAAGATTTCGGAAGTCGAGTTGTCCGATTTGAAAGATGATAAAAGATAAATGATAAAACAAAGTAAACATAGATGATAAAATGTAAAAAAAAGTCGATAACTTTATGAAAACCGAAAACTAATCAAATTAAAATCAGCTTTTATTTCACGTTAATTTCGTGCAAATTCACGCGATTTCATCATCTTAAATTGTCTATACATGCTTATATATTACCTATTTACTAAAAGAATACCGAAAAAATATAACGTTTCGATAACATAATAATGCATGTCATTTGGCTGCAAGTTTTTTGCAGTATTATCATGTAATTTGATATCTTGGTTATCCCAACATTTTAATCCTTAAATTGACCAATTATCGCTTATTCTTCTGGGTGGGATCACACCATTGCTGTCACGAGTGACACGTTATGCGTAAAATTTGAAGACAATTTTGCATCCATCATAACGACCTACGACTTTTAGCACGGAATCATAGATTATTAAATAAAATGTGATATAGATGAAAACAGGGGGGAGGGGGTGGTCGTAAATAGGGTCCCCCGTAATGTGTGAACCAGGTTAGGGTTAGACTATAATTTTATCCCCCTGCACAACTCGATGTAAAGTAGGCAAACAAAATTAGTCCATTTTGTTACACACTTTTCTGGGGCGCCGTAAATGGAGTATTTTAAGATGAGCCTAAGTAAATACTATATGTATACACAGCCTAGGACATTTATCGCGGATCTTAACGTGGCGTGACTTGAAAGACAATAAAAACTGACACTGGCGTCTACCGAACTATCATTCCATTCTTTCTGCCTTCGTGTTGGTGAATTCATATTTGCTGACTGTGCGGATATTACAGCCAGAAACAGTTTTATTGCATTGCAATAGTGTTAGAAAGGGTCTGGCGTTTTATGAAAAAAAAACTCAAAGCGAAAGCAAAAGACACTCATCTCGATGAAAGTCCATTTCAGTCATTTTGTTATTGTTTATTTGATCAAGACTCTGAGCAATCGTTTAATTTCTCATTTTAGCTTCCTACACGAACTGCGTGGATATTCAACTTTACGCGAGCAAAGAAAGTGGAATATACATCTTAACTCTTCCATCGCTGAGTAGAAAAATGAAAGTCTGGTGCGATTTTGAACAGGTACGATTTAGTAAGATACGAATATATTTTCAAGTACGGTTTGTAAATGCAAATTACAAATGCAAATTTTAAGTTTTTTTGTTGAAACTCTCCCGGCCTGGTCCTTACAGAGTCAAATCCAGTAAAGGTGTACAAATGCCTCATGAAACTCAACTTCCAAATTATTTAATGCATATTTGAGAAACAATTGACAAGCATTGTTAGACATATATCTGTCATTAAATAAACAATTCCTAAATTAGTTCTTAGAAGAAGTAAACTATTGTGTTAATCCGGATGTATACCAAAATGGCGAATTAAAATTTTGTCACGGTGATCAAAAGATGGCGAAACGATCCTTATTATCATGGTTGAAATGTGCATAGGAGAAGGCAATATAGAAATGATCTAGTGATGGCGGACAATCACATTGTAAATTTCTTAATCAAGAATTCTACGGCAGGCAATTACATGTCCGTATGAAACAAACGGGGAAGGATAGCACATGCGCGTGTACTAAACTAAACACAGCCACAATCCCAAGTGGAATGATAGCACATGCGCGTTCCTGCTCATCTTTGGTTTGCAGCATAAAGAAAAATCCAAACTCAAACATCATGTCCACCACTTCTTCACCCTAGTCAATAAATGTGTAGATAACGCTTAACCGATGAGATTTCGGTCTCTAAAAGTCAGGTCCATATTTAAAATAATATTACGCGTGCTTCAAGGGCGTAGCTTTTCCGAGAAAACGAAGAGAATTGTTTTTGATTCTTATACTCTTGTAACTTCTTATTGAAATATTGCTTCAAGATATGATCAGAGAAACAAGCTTAAAAATAAACTACTTTTTCGCGACCGCTTACTTGCCGATATTGACAGGCGTAGGTAAACATATATCACTCATCGAAATCAGCATCCCCTATTTATAATATTGGATTATATTAGTCCGGATCTGAAATAATAAGAAGATTTCAATTTTCTCTCCGTGACCAAAGTCCAAAAGATTGAGAAACGATCTTTTTCATGGTTAAAATGTTCATGATTGGGGTTTATATACAAGTGGTCGAGAGGGTACGGTTATACGGGGATGGATACTCATACTGTGAATTCTATAACCAATGATTCTCTAGCTGACAAACCAAAGGAAGGGTGTATAATAAAAAAAAAAGCTATATCACCAAATTTCACGACGAAAGAGTGGCTCCGCCCGACTTTTCGTTGCAAGTTCGACGCCCATCGCTCCACCCAGGTTGTATAAAAATGGGTAAGCAATGCGTAACCCTAACCCATGGCCTGTTTCAAGAAAATAAGGAGTTTTTTTTATATTCAAACTTCTGTAACTTTTTACTGAAATCCCTTTGTGAATATTTATCCGAGATATCATTAGAGAATAAATTTAAAATCACCAACTTTTTTGTAATATATATTTTTTTAAAAACCACCTTTCGACTTTTCGACTATAACTCTACAGTGGCTGCCCGTTCATAGTCTCATAGACTAGTTATGTATAGGAAACCGAAAGTAGGGACATTTCCGAAAATATTCATGACACACTATGACGGCGAGGAAATTGGCGTTGAGTCAGAGTTGTAATTATCTTGTGTTGACTGAGAGTATTTAAACTTTTTATGTTAAGAAAGATCGTTAAAATTAACTCTAATTTCTCGCACAATTCACAAAATTATCTCTATTATACGCAATACCAGGTGACTTACTTTTTAATATCAGTGGTCTCAAATATTATATTGAAACAGACTAGACGCTTTTCTTTCCAATGGGCTTGTTCAAGTGAGGTTGCAATAACCGGCCCCATACAAGTGCGAAAGCGATGAATTGTTAAGTTTGTTTAAAAATATACGGTCTTGTAATACTCAATCAATTTCAGTTTCCTTTACACAGAACAAAGTGATTGTTGAGCTAATAACATATGGAGGGTAAAAGGCAAAATGGCAAATGTTAAAATTTTAAAAAAGTTTTATTCGTAAAAATTACAAAAAATTATATGATTTTCAAGTTGGTATGCTGATCAAAGTTTGAAGCAATATTTATTATAGAATTTCAATAAATAGTCACCAAATAGTAAATAGTTTTCTTTTTTGAGTTTAGCCCTTTTGGATTGATATTCAAACAATATTATTTCCAACCAATTCTAGAGACTCGGTGGATGATTTTGTAAACTGTAAATGGAAAAGTGTTGCGGATCAATGTTCTTTTTGTTATCGAGCTGGGTTTTTATGACTGAACAGTAAACTCGGTTTTGAGCTCTTATTCCTGGAACTTCATAACCCCTCTTTATTGTGTGAAATGAGTTTGATTGGCTATCTCAATACGAAAAAATACCATCTTTTCAAAATTCAGTAATTCTTATTTAGAGCCTTGCTTGATGTGGACATCTTGTAAAAATTATATTAGCATAAAGTCCTATTATTTTTTTTAAATAAGTGCTACAGTGTCAGTAAACAAAAGACACGATTGATCTTTAACCCTAATCCGATTATTCGTTTCAAATTTCTGAGAAGTTGGAAGATTGTTGACTGATATTCTACCATGCATTGAAAATCCTTCCACGCTACTAGCGGGCACGATGCCATGGGGTTGGCACTCTGACCGGAATAGAATAGCTGAAAGGTTGTCATACCAACCTTTTCAGACAAGGCGTGATAGAAATAGAAATAGCAACTGATATATGCAAGAAGCTTTTTTTTTAAAGAAAAAAATATTTTCGGTTGGGTTGGTTGGGTAGGGTATTACTTCTTTGGTGAGGTACATAGGATTTGACCCCAGATATGTGATCTGTGATGCCAACACAGTTAGGTCTAACTCTTTAACAAAAGGCTTATCCAAAGGGTGAGGGTCGCACCCCCCTCCATTCTGAAATGTAGCTTGAATAACTTTTTAAAACCTGACGGCGCGTGAAACACCGGCTGTTGGCTGTTACAGTCTAACTTAGCAATTACAACCCTCCCCCCTCCTTTGAAAATTCCTGGGTACGTCCCTGTCTTTAAACACTAGAGTAGACCGTCGCGCCCACAAAAAGTATTTCCGTTCTACAATGATGTGTCATCAATATAAATGCTTTCGAAAGTTTAGGTCGGTCCACTCATAAATGTATGAAATGTTTAGTTACAAGTCAAAATCTTGAGTCATGAGTTTTGGGTCCAATGCGAGTCCCAGCGAACTTGAAAGTTCGAATCGAGTCGCTAACCTTAGTATCTTCGACGGGAACGCAGCTAGCGGGGAGATCACGGCGGTCGAATCGAATTAACAAAAAACATTTTATAAACAATTACTGATGCTAGAATATTCCAAGAGACTGTTAAATTACTGTAGTTAACAATAAAAACTATTACCTTTATGAAATTACCGATAAAAACTATGATGTAGCATTTACCTTGTTAATCTGGTACGTAAAACTAGAAAACAACAGTATTAGAGATGTGAATTTGCTCTCACTTCACAATCATTACTCGGTAAACTGTTAGAAATAATATAAACAAAATCTATATATATTTCAATGTTTCAAAATCACTGACAAAATGCCAATAGAGTTACGTTATCTTCAAATCGTTTCGGTAGAAGATTACAAATTTAGTTCTCACAATGAAATTTTGGAGAAACAAAAAGGAGCGTTGAAAGACATGATAGTAATAAATTACCACCATGTGCACAAATCACACGCACGGGTAATAACATTTGAACCGAACTATTTGACCTTTCCAAATGCGGAAAGAAACTTGGACTTGTACCAGAATTTGGAATCTATCAATCATATTAACAGTATAAATACCACTGGAATGATAAACAGGGACACATGCCACAAAACCACTGGTGTAAGAGATCATAGATTTATTGTATTTCTACTTGTCCTAGACCTGTGATCGCACGCTGTATAAATTCGATTCATCGTCAGCAAATTCTTGAGTAAAGCATTTTCTCGTTTCATGTTTCAACTCTACCTCGATTATTTTGCCAAATTTCATTGAAGCGTGTCATAATAATGTTCATTGTTTAAAAATCATTCAACCATGTGATTTCAAGCCAAGCGTGACTTCACATTATTGTTGCCAAACCAGCTGTTTGTTTTAAACAAATCAAAATAAAAGTAAACTTCATATGGATTTCAAAGTAATTGAAGAGCCGGTATTTGTTTGTGTGCATGCGACCAAACGTGCGTGTTACATTATCACGCTATGATCACGCGTCAAGAGAAATTAGTTTTACAAGTAGAATCGAGTGAAAATTTACGAATTTTGTATGAGTGTTTTGTCTGTTTTGGTTTCCAAAACGACATGTTTAGTCTTTTATAGTCCAGGTGTTGAATTTTTTTTTAATAAAATTTACTTTCAGACTTGTCAGCAAATCTAAAACAAGGCTATTATAACTTATTACTCTATCTTGTTCTAGGTTTTAATTCTGTCAAAGTGAATGATGTTTAGTTTGGATTCAAAACGTATCAAATATTAGAATTTGAGGCAATTGTTGTAGCTGGGTTTTCTCCTCTTTTGGCTACAATACAATTCGTTTTGTCTTTTACAGGCCAGATGTCGAAATTTTGTTTGATTATATTGGGTTTCACGCTTAGCCAAGCCTATCTGCTCTTTTATTTCCTTTCAAGATCAGCTTTATTAAACTCAACGTCTATTTAGACCGTGTATAAAATAGCAGAATTGATAGCCATTTGGCTCTTGGCTGAGACATTCATCTCCCATTGAAACAATGTCGATAAGCTTAATATATGAGGAACATTTATACAAAACATTTGTCTAGTGCTCAACATTTCCTGTCTATAATTAATTAATTATTATAAGTCACTTAATTCGTTAATCCATAAAACCGTAACCGACCAAACCGTTACCGCGTTATATTAAATCTATTTAAACAACCTTATGTATTGCATATAGCTAACTTGTCTATCATACGACCTTAGTTGTCGGCTATTTATACCTAGTGCACAGAAATAGCAATGACGGTCCCCGTGGAATTTTTGTCACGTCATTTAGGTATAATATTGGTTTCCCAACGTCATTTAAGCGGTTTTATGAATTTGCATGCAACCACATGACCTTTAGGTCATGTAACAGATTTGTTGTGACGGAGGTCTCGAGCCCTCAAATGAAAGTGGGAAGATCGGGTTTCTGCGGGACTATTTATCCTTCTTTTATGCTTTTGCGTTGCTGAATCTGTCTGCATCTAGCGTTGGTTTCTGGCAAGTTAATGTCCCGAACAAATCGAACAAAGTGTTTCGTGAGATTCATTGTAAAAACATATCATTTTAGCGACCCATCTTCATCCTCTCACTCCGGGACATGAACGTGCTATAAACTAACTGACTATATTTTAAATAACGTCGTTGTGTCGTATCTACTTGTCCTGTGTATTTTACTAGAGTTTTATTTGTATAGTCTATTTCATGCCTGTTGTCCTATTATACCGCAGCAGTCCTAAACTGCTTTTCATTATTGTTAGTAGGGGTGCATGTGTCTTAGGCCATAGTAAGGTCTTGAACATGTATCCCGTCTCTGTTTTACCGTTTATTTATTATGCAGATATTGTTACATTTCTGAGGCAAATAAACATACATACATAGATACATACATACATCTAATGCAAGGATGCTGTAGCAAGACCAAATATGATTATTCTATGTAATTAAAGAAAGTTTGCTGCACATGAACACAACGTTAAAAAACTTTTGGTTTGAGAAGAGTTGCCTGTAACCACTTGTCTTCAATATTATATTCCAGTTTATTTTTTGACAAAAATGTCGGTAGTTTCTTGAAACAAAAACAATTATAAATGTGACAAAAATAACCCTGACCGTCCCCGTGGGATTCCTACTACGTCACTCAGGTCTATTATTGCTTCCAACTTCGTGTGAGCAATTTTTACTTGCAATTCTGCAACTTGCAATACTTGCAAGTTTTGGGTCAATTATTCCTTGTTGTTCAAATCTGCTGTAAGCAACATCTTGCACTTTCAAGCACAATAAGAAATGAGAGTTTAATCTGTAGCTTCTGTATTCTTTGTCAATGAATATTATCACTTCTAATAGATAATGTAGTACGATTTCGCGTGCGAATGCCGCAAAATTCTCACTCGTTCGTGCGAACGACTTGTAATGAATCTTTTTACGAGAACGGCAAGAAAAAATTTGCCGGGTTTCATTAATATAACAGGTATCCTCAATCGGGAATAACAATTCTAACGGATTATGTATTATCGAAAAGTACATTAATTTATCGTACTAAGGCCACGAACCGTATTTTCACACTCTTGCAAACGTCTTATAAAGCATAATTCTTAATAAAGTAGACTCTTTTCTGTTAATATGGCAGGTATCCTCAATAAAAAATATCAGTTCTAAATGATTGCGTATGAAGAAAAAGGTACAAAAGTATCATAATTTATCGTACTGAGGACACGAACCGTAATTTCACACTCTTGCGAACGTCTTATAAAGCATTAAATCTTAATTTTCGTGTAACGGCTTTATCGATATTAATGTTTGTGTCCAACCATCCGATGCCGTGAATGGACATTAAATATAATTGATGGGGAATTACAAGTTTGCATGCCAATGTCCCATTTGTACTTTCGCGCAAATGACGGTACTACCGAAGTATGTGAACCAAGATGGCAGACACCGGAACGTAGTATGTGAATCAGATTAGAACTAAAATAAGAAAAATTAGAATAAAATTATGGCCTACCCTAACCTGGTACACATACTACGTTCCGCTGTCCGACATCTTGGTTTACATACTCCGGGAGTACCCAAATGACTCATAATGTATACCACTTTTAATACATCTTCCTATGTTTCTCTCTTTCCTTTATCTATTTTCTTGGAAACTTTCGTAGTGTGTGTACCAGGTTAGGGTTAGGCCATAATTGCATTCCGATTTTCCTTATTTTAGTCTTATTACAAGTTTGGGGACTGTCTCTGTTAGCCAAAAGAATATATACCCTTCCCACGGCTTTCAGTCCTTTGCACAACTTGATGTGGAGTAGGGGAACAAAATAAGTTACCTCCATATTGGCACACACACTTCTGGAGCGTCAATATCATCAATGGACAATATGAGTTCCAATTGATGAAGTATTATGATTTTGCGTGTCAAGGCCAAAATTCCCTATTGTACGTTCGTGCGAAGGTATAATCATAAATCGTTTTTACAATTTGTTGGTATGAAATTTTTCTCCTGGCTTTATCAATGTGGATTACCAAGTACCGTGCAGACGATATCAAATATGATTAATAGGCTATTATGATTTTGCGTGCCATTGAATTCAGTGATAGGAATTTTACAAAATACTTATAGAGCAGTAGTTTCTAAAGTTGATTGGGACCTCCAGATGTATGCGCACCAAGATGGCGCACAACCTGAACCTAGTATGTGTGTACCGGTCCGGATTCAGGTTGTGCGACATCTTATTGCGCATACTTCTGGAGCACCGTTGATTGGCCGGGGGTAGGGGGAATTAGAAGTGAAAGGATATTCGTGGGCCAAAATAGGGGAGCGCCCGAAAGGTGCCAATTCCGCTATCGGTATATATTATTAAGATATTGGTATAATTGAAATATTACGAATATACACGAGCCTAAACTGTGATAAGCACGTAACAATTTGCGGCATCTAGACACAAAAGCGTAAAAACATAAATCGTCAAACTATTTCTCTTAGGTTTGACCGGCCCTATTGAATCGTTACGCGAGCCGTAATTGGCCCGCGGGCCTCGGTTTGGAAACTACTGCTATATAGAATACATTGTGTTCATGAAAATTTTTATGTTATTCGCTACTTTGCTTTATCTATATTTTCAAGTGCATGTCTCATTAGAAGGTATCTATTCAATATACAGTATATCAAATGTATTTGATAAAGTGCCAAAGCCAAAAATCGCAATTGAACGTTCGTGCGAACAATTTATAGAACACAAACCTTTATTATATGTTCATGCAAAAGCCTTATGGCATATACCTTTGCTTTTAAATGAGTCTTATTCATTATTTTTATTATACCAGAGTGTCCATAAAACCCTTTTAGAATTTTAATTTTGTTATGAAGTCATTTTTGTTTGTTGTGTTGTGTTTTGTTATTGTTTAAAATTTTTACTTCATTTAATACATCTGTGAGGGCTAAAACAATATATGGTATCCCTTTGCAATCTCAACAAAAATTTAAGAATTTATAGACACCATATACTATATTCAAGATTATTGTTTGAGGATTTTTCAATATTAAATCAGTCGAATATTCATAAAATAAACTACTTATCCATATGAAAAAAACATTGGAATTAGTATAGGCTTCCCAACTCAATTCAACTCATTTGCAATCACTGAATTTTTGCGGCATTGTTGAAAATGACGCACGCGGATGCCATGGTCAATTAATATTTATCATTCCTAGTGTCACATTTATCTTGCAACAACTTCCATTGACGTCATCCGTTGTCATCGTGACGGCATTTTTAAATCATGCGTGACAAGATATGCGTGCTCTGGTTTTCATTACAATTGTTCAGAATGTCAATCTTATCTTGATGTTTGAATACTGCATAGTCATGTAGACATTACAGGTTGGACCTTTTGATAAACCATTTTCTGGATTTTGTTTCTTTGTGATGAATATTATAAGGAACTATTCAGAGATAAATGTATCACACATCGGTTAGCATAAACGGAATCTATGTGGAAAAAGAATACTTTTTCTCAGTTTGGTCCCGTACTCGTATTTTTACAAAGTGAACAAGAGAGCAATGCTGAAATATACGGGCACTAAACAAGATTCAAACTTTCTGAAATCAAAAATATGCTCCATGTTTTCTCCAGGAAATGCGACAAAAATACAAATAATAGCAAAATTGGATCATTCCCGTTCAAAATGTTCTAATATATTGTATTAATACACCTATCACCCCAGGTATAGAAATGCTACTGTTATTCTGTAGATAATTGGACATGAATAAAAGTATTAACATGGTTGTTGGATCATTAATGCTACGTTATCCGTCTACCCAAATTGTTGTACTCTTGGTCAGATAGTAGACATGAGATCTGAAGCTGAGATCTTAACCTGCGATGCGTTTAGGACTAAAATTTTCCCCACTAAACCATTTTTTTTAAATCAGAGAAATGCCTACGTTATGTTTATTTTATTTTATCCAAACCTTTCTTTTATTTTAACAGGACCCAGGCGGCTGGACAGTGATTCAACGAAGATCAGAAGGAAAAGTGAATTTCTATCGAAACTTTGCGAGTTATCAAAGAGGATTTGGATCATTGGAAGGAGAATTTTGGCTTGGTAAGTTGAATAGATAAAACCACACAATGTGGAACTTATGAAGAAAAAAATCATCGAGCGTCGTCTCAGACCAGCGAGTTCACCAATATTCCGGGTACATTGTGGTATGAGGCTTCTTCTTGATTTACTTGCATCTTCATTATAAGCGGTGCTTTTTTGCCAAATTTTTGTCATTTTTCGAATCGTTTTCAACAAGAAAAAAATATTAAAATTGGGATTCTTTTTTCTCGTTTTCAAAAGAAAATTAATTTTTCAGCGTTTTTGTCAGGTAAATACAAATATGCAGTGGCCATTATGCTCGAACTCACTTGCTTCAACCATGGTAATTACCAAATATACACGCTCCCGTCTCGTCACCACGCCCATTAACAATATTCAATGCATTTCTTTCCAGGCTTAGAGAACATTCATCATCTCACGAATCAACCAGGAGTAAACTACAAACTTCATATCGATATGGAAGATTGGAGCGGCAGAAAAACATTTGTTGAATACGGGAGTTTTAAATTAGAAGGACAGGACGAGGGTTACAGACTGAAAGTTGCGCATTACAGGTAAATGCTGATTTTTTCATAGTTAACTTCTTTTCTTATAAGTACATTAGGAAAATCTTCATAAAATCTGGGCACAATAGCTTAGTGGGCAATGATACTCGATCTTTTATGAGCCGTGCCCCTCAGAAGCGCACCTTTTTCCCCCAATGTAAGCTGACGGCCAGGCTGAGAAACTCTGATCTAGTAGTTAGAGCGTTCGGCCGTGTTGTTATTACCAATTAAAGATTTTGGTTACAAACCCCATGTTAGCATTGAATAAATTGTGTAGACAACGCCCGAACTGCAATGATCCCATTGGGAACAGAAATATTTGGAAATCCGATAAAATTTATATTTAAAGTTGGTACATTGTAATCACCCATTCTCCGTACGTCATATCTTGGGAAAAATTCATCTTATACAACAAAGTACATGCACCCCACTATTCGTGTTTACAGTGGAACTGCAGGAGACTCACTGACGTGGCATAACAACATGAAATTCACAACGAAGAACGTTGATAACGACCCGTTCGCGAGAAATTGTGCGAATTACCAGAAAGGAGGATGGTGGTACAATACATGTGCTCATTCTAACCTCAATGGAGTCTACTATATGTAAGTATCATCACTTGAAATCGTCGGAATCGCTGACTTGCAATCAAGGGCGCATCCAGGATTTTCAAAATCCCCATGCAACAGCTTCTGAAACAGTCGTTGCTCAGAATATTGATCCATGACAAATACTAGCATATACAATATTTTGCTTGAGGTAATTTAATGATTGTTCGTTTTTCTCATCAAATGTTTTAACTACTTTGTCTGTTTTGTTCATATTTGCGTTTCTGGCCAATACTTATATTATATAAATTCTCCTGAACATGGTCAAATAGGCAAGGCGAGACGCCCGATAGTTTAGTGCCAGTCTTGATGTCTTTTCACTAGCATCTATATATTTAATCTTTAGCAATTGCTTAGGCTTTTGCTTTCATTTGCACACGGTGGGGTGGCTACATTTATATGTGGAGTTTTTAGTGGGTTTGATTCTTAGTCTGTAATTAGGAACTTCAATAAAGAAGACTTTATTAAGTTCTGACCCCATAATATCACCGAACTCCTCTATCACTACCTCGTCTATCGCAGCCATTTGTACACGACTCACAATAGTTTACGCTCATAAATATGTTTATATCATCTTTCAAATGTCAAAGCTTGTGTGGCCAAATTTCTTGATTTCCTAACTTTACTATTATTTATTTCAGGGGTGGACATTACCGGAGTAAGTTCCAAGATGGAATCTATTGGTCAGAATGGAGGGGCGGGTCTTATTCACTGAAGCATGTCGAGATGAAGATAAAACCATCAGAATAGAAAAAATCGAGTTTGAAATTGCGAGCTCGAACATTTTTGATGGTTTTAAAGATGCAGTGCTGATATTTGTACAAATCGCCCAATCTGTCTCTTAGTACCTCCTCACGTATCACTGGATGGATGTACTGAGTCTTGTTCAGAGCGGAAATATGAAAATGCCTCAAAAGAAGCAAATTAGTATCGACGATGACGTTATCGAGGACATTGTTTATCATAAAGTTTTTCTCTTTGGTCACGTGACCGTTGTTTGATCGTTCGACGTAGACATTTATTGAAGAAAACTTTTATATGGAGTAAAAAAAACACAGCTAAATTTCAAAAATTTGTGGATGTTTAAATTTGCTACTACTCGGATTATATTTGCTACTAAAAAGTATTAAACTAATACAATAATTGCTGGAGAATCGGAAGAAAAATTAAAACGCATATGAATTGTCTGTATATTGCGAAATTTGATGATTATTTTGAGAATGCTTTATTTATAATTTCCCTCGTTTCAGAATCGTTTTTGATTGCTAAAGCCAAACAAACTTTTTCTAAATTTTCTTTCTTTATACGTGGCGTTATACTTAAAATCGTTGAAACTCATCTAAAACTCCCAAACGAGACTGTGAATACACAAATCAGTATATCATTACCGACAGAAAGGGTTAACCACTTTCCCAAAATCAGTACCCCCTCTCCTCCCGCTCTTTTTTAATTGTGAATAAATAAATAAATTTTGTATCATACATAGCAACTTTTCAGACCACCTTCTACATTTCCACTTCCTGGCTACGCCCCTGGACTCGATTAACCCGTGACTTGACTTACAATTACTTACAATTTTCGGGGCTCCCGAACCAAGATGCGAACCAAGATGGCGGACATCGCAATGTAGTATGTGTACTAGGTTAGGGTTAGGCCATAATTTTAGGTATAAATACTACGGGAGGCTCTTGGCTAGTCTTCGAACTGATAATAGGACTAAAATGAGGAAAATTGGAAAAAAAATTATCGCCTAACCCTAACCTGTTACCCATGTTACGTTCCGATGTCCGCCATCTTGGTTCGCATACTTCGGGAGCCCCCAATCTTCTATCCAGCCCTGATCAGCAGGAATCAGTAGTAGCATTCACAATTCAAAAAGGTTGAACTACTAACTTAATGATAAGCAAACTTCTCTATATAAAACCACAGTATTAAATTGAAACTTAATTCATACCTTATGTATTTTTGCTTTTTCGATTGTTCATTTTGTGTTTTTTTTATATATTTTTCATTTGGATTAAAGTGTCTTTCATTGTTCCTTACTTGTGAATAAATTAATTAAAACGTATCTTATGACTAGCATGTTGTCAGGCATGAATATGAAGGGGGGGGACAACTGATATTTAGGGATCTCCTGAAGGTTGTGGTTGTGCGACATATTGGTGCGCATAATTCAGGAGCATCGTGAACCAAGATGGCGGACACCGAAACGTAGTATGTGTACAAGGTTAGGATTAGGCCATAATTTTATTTCAATTTTCCTTATTTTAGTTCTATTCCGACAAGCCGAATGACTCCCGAAGTATTTGAACGTGAAATTATGGCCTAACCCTAACCTGGTACACATACTACGTTCCGGTGTCCGCCATCTTGGTTCCATACTTCGGGAGTACCTATTTATTTATATAAGTCAAATTATAAGATATTTCAATTTTACCAGTGAAAATTAGCTACTTTTAGTATGGAAGTATTGTATTATCTTTCACATTTTCAAATTATGCAAATTTCCCCATGCGACGTTTATGTACAAGCTTCCACTGCTTGTTGAGAATCTACTTTATTTTTGCGAGAACCGGAATATTTACGGCTCGGCACTGCATACCGCAAGAGTGGGCAATTATTTTCCCGAGTGGGCTACTTACAGATAATGAGTCTTGGTTGCTTGTTTTAGCCAACGATTCGCTATCCTCATCGATATTTCCAACGGAAGTTTATATGTATTAAAACTATAGTCGTAATTTCAGCAAGCACAAGTGGGCCGGATGAAACGCTTCGGTGGGCTGGATATGGCCCGCGGGCCGTCATTTGCCCACGTCTGATACCAGTGTGTATGAAGTGGTGGGCATGTGATTTCTAGCTTGCGATGCCAACACAACTAGGTTGTACCTTTATCACAATTAAGTTTGACGTTTTAATGTCACTGGACCAACGGTTCACAACCACTGGGCCACAGTAACATTTTCAAGTAGGTCACACACCTATTAAAAATTATCCGAGTTATTGATAAATTAGCTAAACTTTGGTGGTTGTAGCAATGAATGATGATGCTGCTTTTGCCACTGCGTGGTAAATTCTAATTTTAATCATTGAAGTGGAAGTGTCTATCTTTGCGAAAGCTTCTCCTTTAGTGTTTTTTTTTCTGCTTCTTCTTGCTTGAGAAAGTTTATGGGCCACAAAATTTTCTGTGCCACTCAAATGGGCCGCGAAAGAAAAAGGTTGAGAAACCCTGCATTAGACTATCGCGCCTACTATATTTAAAATAGGTGTTGCGTTATATTAGGAGAAACAATCAATTTATTTTAATATCCACACAAATATGCAATCAGGCGAGTATCTCATAAATTTCACAGACATTGTAGTATCTTATCCGTCACGATCTAAACGCAGGAGTCTAAACACCGGATAAACAAATTACATGGATGTTAATTTACATATTTGATAGACGATGAAGCATAGTGATAACATTGTGCTTATATTGGTGGTGGATTCGGGTGTTTGATACGGTATTCGTTGATAGTAAATTGCTTTTCATTTTAAATACAGTGGATTTGATTGAGAGTAAGGTGTTATATTTGCTCCTGATTACTATTCGAATTGTTTCTCGTGTACAGCACCTGAGGGATGACATATAGAGGGTAGGGTTGGGCATTTTTGAATACCTGATGATTTCAGCATCGAAACGAATATTTTTTTCGAATCGAATCTTGACTACTTGGGAGTCAATGGGAGATATGTAATTATATGCTACTTTTTATTGTAATTGGTTCTGTCAATAAATGTATTACTGGAAACACGAATAAAATCACTAAGATTGCGGAGATTTCACAAGCAATGAAAAACACTTATTTATCAATAACACACTGCAGAAAATAGTCATATGTCAGAATTGTATTGAAAAAATATGGTTTCAAGAAAATTGGGTAATTCACCTTGAACATTGTCGAGAAGGAAAAAACAAGATGGCTGCGATTCAAAATTTTGCTATGAACCGATTCGAAAATTCGATTCGGAGTGACTAGCCCTAATAAACATTAAAGGAATAAAGATAGATACAGGGAGTCCTCGCGTCGCGACTTACGCTGTTTCGAGGTTACGAACGCGCACTCCATAACGCTTTTCGAGGTTACGATCGCACTCCATGAAAAATATAAAAGATAACACTGTACTGTACAGTATTTGCTTTTATTCATGTAATATGGAATTTTTTCTGTTTTTTCAATAAAGTACTTTTTTGCATTATCTGTACATTTTATTACAGTGCTATACTTTACAATACAGTACGATATGTATGAAGTAATTTATGTACTGTACAGTATGTTCCGACTTACACTGAAATTCGGGTTACACCGCGTCTCGAGAACCTAACAACGTCGTAAGTCGAGGACTCCCTGTATATGGTTTAAACACCGCGCAAACGAATTACTTATTACATGAATATTAATTTACAAATTTGATAGATGATGAAACATTTGGGATAACATTGTGATGGATTCAAGGGATCCGTAAGGTATCGACGGATAAGTTTTTTTTTCTATGCTGAAAACATTATAGTATAGTTGGAAAAAAGAAAGCATGTATGATCTCAATCTTCATTCAGATGGCCTCCTCTATGGAGAGCTTTTGGGCTGTCCATAGACAGCAGGTTTGAAACATTGATGGATATATGGTTTAAACACCGGATAAACAATTTACATGGATGTTAATTTACAAATTTGATAGACGATGAACAAGAGATATCATTGTGCTTACATTGCTTGTGAATTCGAGTGTACGGTATCGGCTTATGTTTGTTTATTGTTTAAAACAGTAAGTATAATTAGGAATATGGCTGTATATAGGACCAAATACCCATTTATCAGTAATCAGTAATTTATTCCACACATGCCGAAAATGCACATTGTACATACAGAATGGCGAAAGAAAGAAAAAAATGCATTTCAGTGTGAAAGGAGACGCGATAAACCAGTAATGGTTACCGAGAAGCGTCACCTAAATAATAAATTTGAATAATTTCCTCCTCCGCTATTTGGTTGTCAAATATAAATAGCATGTTAGGAATGAGATTTGATATATGATCCCTGGTTTGAACAATTGACTGATTTATCCTGGTACTACTTACTTTTGGTGTGTTTACGTATGGTTAACTGCATCGCGATTATTGGCTGATTACTTGATTACTTCTTGTTATGGTTAACTGTTTAGGGCAGGCCTGCACAACATACGGCCCGCGGGCCGCATGCGTCCCGCTAGATACTTCTGTGCGGCCCGCGGGTGATTTGGTGCCACTTCTCGGATCTAACAATCTAAGCCGGCATTGTTATGCAAGCGCGCCTCTACTCCGATCATATTCGAAATCGTGAGATATATGTTTTGCACTAGTTTCAATAAACATCGAACTTTGTGTAAAATTGGTGTGCCCTTCGCGACCCCTAAAATTCGTCGCTCCACCCCTCGCCCTCCAGTTTGGGAAACCCTGATTTAAATATCTCAGTGTTCAGACTGAATCACGGTTAAAACAATATCGGTATATAATCTCACTCCCATTAGTGCATATTAGCAACCTATTAATAACCCCATTATTTATTACTAGCAGTTCATGGAACTAAGTTTCTTTTTTGATTCAAATTTCGAAATTAAAAAACAATTCTTTTATTTATGAATGGTGCAGAAATTCTCGCACAAAAGATATTGCTATTTATTGTAAAATTTCAAATAAATTGGAGCAGATTTTGTAGAAAAATGTAATTTACCAGTCAAAAAAGTACAACAGAGGAAGATCTAGTACTACTAAACGGATTGTTTGTCTAGCATACAATGGAAATATCCAATAATGGTAGATATGACTAAATAAATTGTCATACATATATTTGGGACGATTTTACAAAACTGAACCTGAGTAAAATATTTTCCTGCAGTCAGTTTATACTGCAACACGCAATACCTAATTTTAATAAAAAAGAAATATTGAAAATGAACGGTGGGTTTTCAAGGTAGATGAACCGTGAACCACTAAATACATATTTGCCATCTCATATGCAAAAATACTGTACCTTGTTTATACTCAAGAAAATAAGATTCTTCATATTTTTAAGCTCCCCAGTAATGAAAGTGTTTCATTAAATTTAACTGTTTCACAATTCACAATATTATTTTGATTTGTAGTTCATCTTGTGAAATATGTATGTGGCAAAGTTTGCGGACCGCCGGGTCTTCAGATTTATGCTTGCGGCCCTCGTGGTAATTTGAGTTGTGCAGGCCTGGTCTAGGGCTTTAGTCTGTCTTTAGATCTGTTCTCAAAAGCTTGTTAATGGTTAGGGCTATACTCATTGGGTATGAATAATCTATTTCTTAACTTTCTTACATTGGAATAATCTGTTCTGAAAAAGCCTCATTTCAATGTAAGTGGATTGGTATATTCTTGCTTTGTATTGTGCCTGGTTGCCTGTACTCATTATTCATCTTTATTGTTTGTCAGGTCACTTTGTCTTACTGATATCTGGATTAAATCACTTTGGGAGAAATCTATTCGTTTCATTTCGGGATATTAGTTAAAGAGACATAGTAGGCAAGGGTGATTTGTCAATGGGCAGAAATCCAAACTAATCCCATTGATCGTTTGGATGGTCTCCTTCGTAGAGGGTTAATTGACCACTAATAGACAGCAGGTGATGTAGAATATATTATCACATCCACTGTTCGAAATGTTTCATATGCAGAGACCTAGTGAGTTGCCTTGACAATAATACGTTAGGAATCGGGATCATTTCTTATCCTATAGCCACAAAATGCCCCCACCGCAGTGAACTATTGGGTTTGTCATAAGAACGGCATGAAAATTATATTTATATCCCAATTCTGTTCTGTCATAAGCACAGTAGGTAAGGAATTAGGATAGGGTTGGTAACTTGATATACATATACATCCAATACTTTACACATAGCCAACTCATATACATATTAGAGATGTACCGATGTATCGGTATCGGCAATATCGGCCATTTTTTCGGTATCGGCCATGTATCGGTATCGGTTGAATTAAGGCCGATATTTCCGATATATTTATCTTTTTGATATGGTCCAGAATGTTTTAAAAGATAGGTTGGAATACTACTTTTTAATTTATTTTTTGTCTGGAGAGATCGTGCGCTATGAGACATACAAGTCCCAACCCCCGCGAAAGAATAGGATTCACGTGTTTTTAGCTATTTATCAGCCAAACTAGTTCAACTAATTTGGCTATTTTTGCTGTCAAGTTTTTATATTGACATTTTTAATATTACATAGTAATTATGAAAAAATATATCAACACAGCACATAACAAAAAGCAACTAGGCGCCCAGTTTTAAATCATACAGTGGAATTGGGGTCCTTATTAACGTCACAAGGACTTTTGGCACGGCTATAAATACTGACTGTTTGTCGTCAAGTACGAGTGTCATTTAGTCCGTCGACATCGATAAACTAAATTGCGAAATTCAAAATTTATGATAGCAATTGTAAAATATATTATATTATAAAATAGTAAAGTAAAAAAACATCCTCGACGATTATAGGTAGGCCTTCTTTTTGTCGGTGCTGTTTGATATTCTTTCAATTTGGCTTTGACTTATTGCGTCGACGATTACGATTAGCCACGAAAAAAAATATTATTAAAATGCTTTTAATTTGAACGTAGGACGGCGGCGCTAGAATGTGTGGGTGATATTCGATATTCTTTTAAACTCGAATAACGATATTCGAAGGTCGCGATATTTATATCAAGTTCAAATTGGACATCCCGACTTATGAGTTTCAATTGAACACCGAGATTACTAGCCTTACTGTACAATGTATCTTAATCAGTTGAAGCAAACACCAAACATCAATTTCATATTATGTGATATATCTTTTTTTTCGATCTGAAATAATGTGTACCATGAACAACGCTCAAAGACCATTGTTTTAACCCGTCTGCCCTACACAGCACACCTAATTAAGTAATAATTACATAGTATCGGTATCGGAATATCGGTAATATCAGCCTTTTTGTAGTATCGGCGTATCGGTATCGGTATCGGCGTTTTTAGCTGGTATCGGTATAGGTATCGGCGACAAAAGTGATATCGGTACATCTCTAATACATATGCATCCAACATAATATACATATACAGCCATTCACGTGATGTACACCAATGGGATATACATATACAGCCAACATAATATACATATACAGCCATTCACGTGATGTACACCAATGTGATATACATATACAGCCAATACTATACATATAGCCAACTCACATACACCAATGTGATATACATATACATCCAACATACTATACATATATACAGCCATTCACGTGATGTACACCAATATGATATTCATGTACATCCAACATAATATACATATACAGCCATTCACGTGATGTACACCAATGTTATATACATATACAGCCAACCCAATACTCACATACAGCCAACTTAATGTACGTATTCATTCAATCGATTTTATATGTATATGTATTCGATATTTGAGCGTTACATCTTGTTTTATTAGCGAATATTCGCTAAGCAGTGGTTCTTAAACGGTGGGGCGCGCCCCACAAGGAGGGCGTGGACAATTTTTTTTGGGGGGGGGGGGCGTGAAGCTAATTGAAAATTAAAATATTTGTCAGATTTGATCTTGCCCGCCTTATATTTACATTTCTCTATTGTTTAAATTGCTTTATTATGTATACGTATTTTCAATGTGTTCATTGAATGAAACATACACTCACTCGCCTTACTATCTGTTATTTGTAGCTTATTGTTAGCTAGTTATTGAGGCGGAGCGCGAGACTTGACAAATTCAAAAAAGGGTTTGAGAACCACTGCACTAGAGTGTTACAGAGAATCGGAGTTGGATATGTTTTCATTGCAGTAGATTCGAATTTTTTTGAGTCGATATTTTGGATTTTTTTATGATGATGACAAAGCCAAAAGTTTTTCCAAAAACTAAATAAAAGTTAAGTTGATCAAGCTTTTCAACAGTCGGGACTTGTAATCAAAATTTTCAAAAACCGGTGTCTGATCTATTTTTTCCAACCGTGTCGTTTTTCCCCAATTTCTTGCCCTGATTGTGTTCTTTCGTTGGTAATCTCGAAGTATGTGAAATAAGATGGCGGACAATTCAGAATACGCCTATGTTTCTTCTAATCGCCAAAATATAAAAAGCAATTTCCATACTGAACTTCACAATATTTATATTCACATGTTTATATTTAAAGAGCAAAATAAACAGAAACGAAAAAAAGTAAAGAACGGTCATGATATATACCAGTTTTAATTATAGTTGAAACTTTTCATATTGCTATACCCAGCAAGAAAAATGTAAAATCGCGAACATTTGTGTATATTTATTATATGAATGGTGAGAATACTGCTCACATTATATTTATTGCTACTATCGCATAAAGCAGTAAAAAATGCGCCCCAGAAGTGTGTGTATATTCACTTGGCTAAAACAGACAGTTGCTGAACTCGTAATATGACTAAAATAAGGAGAACCGGAATAAAATTATGGCCTAACTCTAACCTGGTACACACACTACGGCAGTACCAAATGAACCATCAAAAATTCTAGATCAGAGTTTACGTGTTAAACCCGACGATTAGACAATAGACTTTCATCAATTCCACGGGTATGGTACTTTTAGCTTAGCCCTTCGACTCTCTACACTTTTAGTGCTAAGTCTTGAAAAAATATTTACGGAAAACACGGCAAAAGACAAAATGGTGCTCCCGAAGTATGCGAACCAAGATGGCGGGACATCGGAACGTAACATGGGTAACAGGTTGGGGTTAGGCGATAATTTTTTCCCAATTTTCCTTATTTTAGTCCTATGATCAGTTCGAAGACTAGCCAAGATCCTCCCGTAGTATTTATACCTAAAATTATGGCCTAACCCTAACCTAGTACACATATTAGCTTCCGATGTCCGCCATCTTGGTTCGCATACTTCGGGAGCCCCGACAAAATAGATATTACGGGTGAAAGTAAATGAGCTACATTACATTTCATGACTATTGTCTCGCAAATGACAAATTCATAAAATATGATACTCAATATTTAATCCCTATAGTCAATAAAAATGTGACACATTGAAAAATACAGATACACAATGAAATTTGCTTTTGACACAAAATTGGGTTTTGATCATATAACCATGTGTCTCAATGTATCAAAAAATCTTTTTCATCTACATTCCAAACTGACACAGTGCATATGGGTATTTCCAATTCCCTGGGAGGTTTACCATTCCGCTGTAGATGCTTTCAGGATCTTTATCAATGTAGAGATACATTTTTGTATAAGTCGCAAAACTGGCAGGGTAAACCCAATTCCAGAGCACAAATTTCGCTTCTTTTCCGTTCGTATACTTGGCTTTGTAGCTCTAAATAAAGAAGAAAAATCGGTAAATATTTTATATTACCACTGGTGTAAACAGAGTCAATTTCAACTTCTCAGTCCGGGTCAGGAAAAAAGACTTCGACTTAAAATGTATTCAAGTCTTTTTAATTAAAAAGATGTTATCATCAAAATCTGAAATTTCGATTTCGAATCCAACCCAATGAAGTTTGAAAATGCGACCCGATGCGACTCCACTTCCGACAGCAGTGAAAACATGCCAAATTGGACTTCAGCTCTCGACTCAGACTCTGATTCCTAGTCTTGCCCATGAGAAACCTCCCATAGGACTGTATGAGATGGGACCGCAAACATTCGTTTTTCCTTTGGGACATCAGCCACGAAATTGATTGAGTCAGAGCTAACCTCCGTCTTTATACTTTTTTGCCTTTTAAGTGTTTTTCTCTCTTTTTTCATTCATATACTTGTATCTATCATATTTATTCTGTGGTGGGACACCGACAGGGTTTTCCAAGGGAATGGGTTTCTATCTATGTCGAGCATCACATGCTCATAACTATGACGAGTGTTACATACACATATGAGAAAACGAAGTATCACATCATTCAAATACTGAAATCATTCAGCTAATGTTTTGTTTAATACAATTTTCAACATAATTTTTTCAAAATGTGGACCAGTGAGAACAACACAGACGATCGTCAACAATGCAAATAGCGAGAAGAAAAAATTCCCCTTCGTGTTTTTTTTATTTTATTTGTATATATAGCATATTTAAACCTCATTTTAATTTAAATTTCAACAAATGTTTCTCTTTCATTTCAATTGCTGTCTTAACCCGAACCATATCATCAAATTCTTTGCACTATGTTTCAAATCAGTCGTTCGCGAAAACGATTTTTCCGCAAAAGTGAAAAAAACTTCGACCCTTTCACAACTATTACATCAGTGGTTCCCAATCTTTCACAGATCTTGACCCCTTCCAGGCGGTTTTCATGGTGTTATTTTGATCGGTATAATCCAAATCCCATTCTATTAAAACATTTCATGCTAAAAAAAACTGAAAACTCCCTCTGGAACCACCTTATCAAGTAATGAAATTAGGAAGAACGGTAAGTTTTCTTGTAAAATGAAAAGTAAAATCTGTTTTGCATTGTGGCCCCCAATTGCTCTGGAGCTTTCCTGGGGAGCCGTGAGCTGGCGGGCGAGATCCTACTGTATTACATAATATCCATCTTGAACGCTTAGATTTAAAGTAAGAATTACTCACAATAGGATTGTATGTCATTCCAATCCAAACTCCCGATTCGATGTCATTGTCAATGAAATATTTCTTCAGCTTCTCATAATGCTCTTGGTCATAAACATTTGCTAAATCTCCTCCGTGCATTCTAAGTAAGAGAATTTATTACATTGGAATGAATAAGTCATTAAGGGTATGGTCATAGTCAAGTTTATTTTCTGTCCAGTAAAAAATAACATACGAGATTGACAAAATTAAACACACATTTTTACTGGGGAATGGAAATCGCGGGGGACCAGGATTGGTTATCTAGCAGCGACACCCAATCACCAAGAGTATATCTGCAGCAACACGGCACTTTTGTTTTATCTAATACACTGTTATTGCAATGTTAATTGGTCACTGATTAATAATTGATAGAAAAATAGCAGAATCTATTCCACAAGTGTAAAAAAGGTTCATCATGAAACTTATATTACGTAGAACGAGACTCTAGTCTAGCGGGAAGGAATTCCTCGCCAGCGAGGAACTTTACTTTCTATTCGCGGTATTAATGATATATTTGTGCTGTTTAGCGTTATTGTAAGGCATATTGCACAAAAATGGAAAAATAGTGTTTATTGCAGGTATTATTAACCGCGGCTCTAAGATTTGCATTCGGCTCTCAACTTATCTTTCCGCGGCTCTTATTATTCTTTAAAAATTAATCATTTTCATTGAAATTTAATGAATGACTTGAAATTGAAAGATTGAAGTGTAGTTGTAAAATTCATGTCATCGTAAATGTTAGGTCGATTTAGGTGAATTTTTTATCATGATGTCATAGTGTTTACTCCACAATGTTTAGCCTATACGTTTCAATACACCGATTTTTTGCGTAGTTTTTTATGCGGCTCTTTACAACATTAGGATTTTAAATTTGGCTCTGACACTAAAAAAAGGTTGAGAACCACTGGTTTATAGTGTGCATCGTGAGGGAAAAGATAGAGTTTGAACCTATACAGAGGATGAAATATATCAAAAACGATTGGGAACCACTTGTCCATAATTGCTTCATAATGTAAACTTACTTGCAATTCTCCCGAGCAAGGTCATAGGTCAACTCGTCGCTTCCGTCCCCAAGTACACTAAAGCAAATATCACCGTGCTCAATCACACAAAGACCTCGCGCTGAAAGGTAAAAAAATTTAACTTTGCTAAATTTATATTTATCATAAAAAAACTAGGCTGTGGAGTCAGAGTTTGACATGTTGTCATTGGAGTCATAATTTGGGTTATCCGAATTTGGGAATTGAAGTCGGAATTTCAGACTATTGAACGACGGATAATTGAAGTCCAAATTTGCTACAGAACGTGAAAAACGCAAAGTTTGCTTAGTCTCACAGTCTATTAACGAAGGTTTCAAACGCTAAAGTATATATAATGCCGGGGATACATGGCAGGTTTTGAGTTCCGCATCAGGGCGCACCTGGTGATCTTGCAGTCAAGTAAATATAAATATAAAAGTTATTATTCATAGTAGATTGAAAATTTACATTCAATTCTCTCTCTCTTGACTTCAGGGTCCGTGGTTTGGTGTGTGAGATTTGCTGAAAATATACAAAAATAGTCCGTAAAAATTATGGTTTGACCTGAGTAGATACGCTGATCAATTATTGTGGAAATTTGGGAATCAAATTTCTTAGCAATACAAGATAATCTAGAATTGATACATGGCTTGCATGTAGAGATCATCGAGCCTTACTCTGTGATGTGTTTGGAAAATAGCATACGCTTTATTTTAAATGTCTTGAATAGATGAAAATAAATCGTATGTGCAATGGTTTGATATTTAGAGCATTGAAATTAACTTACTAGGGGATTTCACTCCCATACGCGCCACCTCACCAAGGTACAGTAGATATATGGTAGGCAATACCGAACAAGAAAGATTGTTTCAGAAAATACAAGTTTTCTGGATATCAGTTGTGTATATGTAGTCTTGTTTTCAGGGAAAGCGTGCAAACTCGTGTGAGAGCTGGATTTTCAGAGCACTTGACCACATATTTTGATCGTTGATTTTCCTACTCAAGTTTCTCTTGCATATTTACAGTTATTTGAATTTCATCCAGTCACACAAATACAATTTAGACATAAACAATAACAAGAGCGATCACCCGTAACTAGGGCTGGAAATGTTTAACCGGCTAATCGATTTTGGATGGCAAACGGTTACGCGTAAAATGACATCTCAGGTACAGGTATCTCAGGTCGCAAAGTTATCCCCTGTGGCGTCAAACGTCACGCTGCGGTTAACCGGTTAATTTTACTCGATTAACGGTTAAAGTGTTTTACCTGAAATTCTCAGCCCAACCTACCCGTGACACTTTAAAGGTAAACGTGTACAGTTTAAGTGAGACGGGACATAAAATCATGGAGCAGTTATTTATGAATATGTGTTCTATAGTAGCTGTTATGTGATATATATATTGTCAAACGTGGAACCCTCCCACATCAACCTTTTAGACATTACAGTTGAGACAGGCCTAACACAACCATCTCTCATATTTTCTAAATTTATCATAAAAACTATGATCTATGATCTGAAAAGAGATTATGCTATTCCCATTTGTTTTATATTAGTTGATTATATTTGTTGATTGTTATGCAAAGCATGAGACGCTGAAAAGGTTAAGAGACGATATTTATTTGCATACAACAGTATTTTGAATAAATAAAGCGACAAAGAAATTACCACTAATCCTACTGTTTTCAGCCATGGATTAGCTTTCTGTGGGATCAACTACTTATCTTTCCTCTATGTCATTGCTCGTACCGCTTGTGCTAAGTATTTGCGCTTGCTGGTATTGGTAAACAAATCGTAACTCAGACTTAATTCTGTGGTATTTATAAGTAAATAATCGCCGAAACGTGTAGGAAATATCTCAACATTAACATTTTTGGTGAAAAATGACGCTGGTAAGAGATTATCTTAATATTTTCATACCATTTGGTCGAATTCATAAGAATAATAATAGAATTAAAAATGTTGTTAAAGCGATCTAATAGCTTATGCTTGCTTGATTGTTACCACTAATTGCATTGACGTCTTTGTGGAGACATTTTTGAGGATGTCTAAGGCTAAGCTATCGAGTTTCGACCGCGTTTGGTTAGTACGTTCGCAATTTTTCAGACAGTTGAATGTTTTCAGATGTCGAAGATCTGTATTGATTTTTGTAGATTGTATTGGCTGGCATTTTTAATCGTTTCGTGTAGGAAAAATGAATATGTATATACTACCGCTTAATGCTAGGAGTTACAAGCACATTCTTTTTGTACAGACGTCTTTAAGGGGATGAAATGTTTTCTCAACAAAAAGATTACTAAGTAATCTATTATATGTATTTGCCAAGACTAATCCAATTAAAAGTTGATTTCAATGCACATACACTTCCCGACAACAGTTTTGCAGTTATGCAGTGTCGGGGATACTTGAGTCCATGATTCAACTCAAACTCAAACTCAACTAATTGCCAGAGAGAGTTGACTTCTGTGTGACACGAACTTTAAATTCAGCCGGGACTTGAGACCCGCATGACCCGTGACTCGGCTTGACTCGTAACTTAGGGCTTGGATATTTGTACTGAAAACAGTTCGTTGTTTCAAATGCAAAAAACACCCTTTTATAGTGTTGTTCATAAAATTCCAGTTCTCAATATATCCCAACCAGCTTTTTTTTTTAATTTTAATCAGTGCTTATCAAGTTTTTTACTTCATATAATACACCTGTATATACACGTGACCGACGCGAAATTGTACGAAACACATTGAAGTTCATACCTAATTTAATGAACACCCCGTATTTCAGATTGTATCGAAATATCATTGTCAATTTCATCCTTATCAGATAAATTTTATGTTATAAAATTACAATAATGGGAATGAACCGATGTGACCTATTTTGTAATTTAAATACCAGATGACAATTTAATACGCCCCAATTGTTTGAGGACAAATTAACTTTTATTTTAATTTTATTTTATTTGCGCGTATTTCATATACTTTAGCATTAGATTAGACAAAAAAAATTCAATTTTTGCTTATGACACTTACATTCACACGTTCTCTGTTCTCTGAGAATTTTTATATTTTATTTGCGATTCACATAGACATTTGATGTTTTTGCAATAAAAAAAATGATATTGGTAAATAAAAGAAAGTAAAAAACAGTCCTGATCTATTTTGTAGGTCGATTTTCAAGCGTTTCACTGAGGCTATGTGCATGAGCACAAGCCACCAGTAATTTTGAATAAATTGGATACAATTTGTTACATTTCTATGTGAGGTGATGGCCATGGGCATAAATTATTCGCCGTGGCGATCTCAGTCGTACAGGCGGATAGGCCTTGCTATCCAAACGACCGGAAAGGCCTCGTGCCAGTCTAGACCGTCCAATATTTTTAAATATCGGCCGAATTTTTCAATTGTCAAATTTACAGAAAACTGTTACTTTTAACACAGACTAATTTTTTTAGAAAGGTCAATTTTACATACTAATTTCTTGTTTTCTGCGAGACGAGATAAAAAGCATAGGTGTTCCTATGGGAAAAAAAAGAGAAACGCTGCTCTAACCGTTCAGCCAAGCGCGTCTGATAGCGATACGATTACAGTGGTCGGTTCAATATTAGGATGTAAACTCTCCATTATTTATCTTTCTTCTGTCACCTGTACAATTTGTTCCATTTAAGATGATATTTAACAAATATTTGCTTTACCACAAATAGGATCATTGAAAAAAATTATGAAATTATGATTAAATTATGAAAGACTCTTATATAAATTATCAAATTATTTCTCACCTTTTAATTCTTGGTTCTCTTTTTCCAATTCTTCCTGCTTAATATATAGTTCAGATTGTTTTTCTGTTAATGTAAAAAGAATACAAAATCAAAAATTGACGAAGTAGCTGGCTAATTTTATTTTAACATACAGGGAGTACTTCGAAGGTATATTAACAGTTGTTAATAATTAATGTTTATAGAATAATTGTATATTAAATGATTCATAACATAGTTTGCGATAAATTTAAATAAGGATTGTATACGCGATTACTTTGATTTAAAAACGACTTTGATCAAACAAACTATTTTCAATTTGAGACAATCTTTCTAATGACGAAAAATTGGAGAGGTGTTTTGGTTCAGATTATCGCAACAACTTATTTCTTCATGTGCACAATTAGATTATTGAACATGGTAGCAGTACTTAAATATATAGGCACGAAAGTCGTGCAGCAGCACCAGTACCTTAAGGCAGGGCTACTCAACTGGCGGACCACGATCCAAATCCGAACTTTCGGGTATTCGATTCGGACCGCGCCTAATTCTTTATTTTGAATCATTCGCCCCACTTTTGGAGTTTCCTTTTCTAAAATCACTTTTATAGATTTAAATATTTATGAAAAGATCTATAACGCCATAATAAACAATCTTAATTAGCTAATAATCATCAGTCGGTCGAGGAAGTCCGTGTTTAAGGATGCCGAAATATAATTTCTGGAAAGACCGGACCCAAATATTTTTGAAGTTTTGTGAGTGGATCTTTAGTAAAAATAGTCGAGTAGCCCTGCCTTAAGGGAGTAAAGGATCACCAAGTTGGCTGTACAGATGTCAAAGGAATCGTAAGCAGGAGCGTGTCTAGAGGTGGGCCATAGAAACAGCCGCCTAATTCGTTGCTTTGTTCGATGATTTGAATAAAAATATTTCAAACATTTCACTCTCACGTGATCTTTAATTTAATTACTCACATGTTTAATAAAATCTATAATTTGTTAATCCCCCAAATTATTTTGAAGTTAGGTATAACTCGACCCGGGCATTAGAAACTTATCCAGGGAGGCAAAAAAGATTGACATGCGCTTGCTCGTGGGACATTTAATAAAGAATAGAATTAATAACCTTTCAATGACTTTTCCCTAAATTACTAAAAATATAAAATATATTGGCTCCCTGAATACGGAAATCACCTCAACAAAAAAACGACTAATACATTCATACCCCCCGTACGTTTAAAGACCACTTGGTCACACCAGTTGGTCGACCAACCCGATAAGAATAATATTCGTCAGCTGTGCGATAGCATCCCACAGTCCCGATTACTCATTTCTAAAACTACCATTGTGATACTGGTGTTTGCATTCTTGATATCTAGCAGGTTTGTGGCAGAAATCATCATTAAATACGCTTATCTGTAACGAAGCGGGCCACTAATAGTCTACATCCGAAATACGGTACTCTCGAACAATGTGAACCAAGATGGCAGACACCGGAAGGTAGTATGTGTACCAGGTTAGGGTCAGGCCATAATTTTATTTCATTTTTTTTTTTTTATTTTAGTTCTTTTACGAGTTCTGGGACTAGCCAAGTGACTCCCGTAGTATTTGTACCTGCAATTATGGCCTAACCCTAACCTGATACACGATGTCCGCCATCTTGGTTCACATTCTACGAGAGTACCCGAAATCCTATGTAAAAACTGGAAACTTTCACATAATTTTACTAAATTAGAACTTGAACAACGCTTACTTCTTAATTCCTCATTTTCATTTTCCAATCTCATCTGTCTGTTGATCAGTCTCGTTTGTTCTTTCAGTAATTGCTGTTGTTGGCCTAGAATAATAAGGATATAAACAAGATAAAACATGATGAGATACTGGTATAGTATCCGTCACAATTATATCAGATACAAAAATGTTCATATTCGTTGTTCATATGCAAACACTGGCAAATACATACGAGTATGTGGGGAGATTTTTCATGTTATATTCAGTCTTATCGAAGATATAAGAGAAGAGGGATAGCCTGAATTTTCCTTGAAAAGAAACATTGCATCAAGGCTATTTAAACATAATAATAGCTGCAACTTAGTTAAAAGTTTCGGTATTTTTCTGAACATTAACACACCTTTCTATCAAACACATATAATCAAATCTTCTTTACATCGAACCTGAGCCTGAACATTTTATTCGGAAGCGCCGACCATACTTGGGAATTTTAATGAATGTCCATACATCCATAATTCCATAAGAAAAATATCTAAGCATGCATCATTCAACACAGAGCGCACTGGCCGCAAAGTTTCCTATATTGCAAAATCAAATCTGTACGAATTGAAACGTGGCATTTACCACTAAGCTGTTCAATTCTATATTGCATTTCCTTCTTGATCGCATCCAACTTGCTCTCTACTCTTGGGTCGATCTTTTCGGGAACTGTTTCAACTGTTGTGGGAGCTGAAGGTGTGGTCGCTAGTTGATACAAATAAGATCGAAATTTGATAAAAGAAGCAAAATTAGCAAAATTATTAGATAATTGCTGTAATTGAGAGCACTCTAATTGTGAACAAAATCTTAAGAAACCAACGGCATAGCCAGAAAAGTACGGGATGGTCGATTTATAAGCTATATAAATTTATATATTTATAATGGGTTTCTCCTGCTTGCTTATAAGTCATATATATGATAACACCGGTAACAACAATTAGTTCGTTCTTCGGCCTATTAAGGACTTATATCTGACAACATATTTGATATAGCGTAACTGTAGAGGCTTCAAACGTTCAAATGTTCGTTCAAACGTGTTTCAGATCTGGGATCTTTTGTACGAAGTCCCAGCCAGATTTAAAAAAACATCCCCGCTATGTTTTAAAATAACGAATTAGTAATTACCCAGTTGGAGTTGAGAATGATTTAAAAATTTCAATTCCCAGTCCAATCTGCATCTCTAACCCTAACTAGTTAATTACTAACTTTCTTATTTGAGCGTTGGTGTTTACTTTTGGCGGGAATTTTTGTACAAACAATCCCGAATTTGTCACCCGTTGTTCTTAATTTACCAGAACAATTCAAAATACTTTTAATTGTAAGATTTAGGTCACTGCAACCTGTGCATTGAGTATATGTTTAGACCACCTCTGTCTGTAGCCTATTGACGGCTTATACCAAACAATGGCTCATTAGATTAGTTGATCTACCATTTGTTATAATTGTATTCACAAGTGACAATGTTAACTTACGTCCAAATCCTCTTGCTTCAATTGCTTTTTGACGTCCTAAAAAGAGATTATTCATGATTTATAAGCAGAAAATTGAACAATTTCGAAAAATAGAATTTTTCTTTTAATTTTTACATATATGTCTGTATGTCTAAGGCAGTGGTTCCCAGACCAAGGATAACAGATGTGATGATTTTTAGACCAGGGCCCCGACCGCGGACCGAAGGCCAGTTACGACCCGCATAACGATTAAATATGGCCCACCGAACTAATTTAACACGTTATGTTTTTACCTTTTCGTGTTTCGTGTCTGTTCAAGTCTTCCTTGCAAATTGTCATTTTTATAAGCATAGGAAGTATACTATTTAAAATTTCTCCTATGATCACGTTTTCTGATAAAGTTCATATCATTCCATGTATGACAAACCGCAAAGCTTCCCAAGCTTTTAATATCAAGTTTTAATCTATATCTACAAACAGTTTTTGACGTTTGACTCATTTTCTATTTAGCATGAGCGTTACGACCAATCAATTCCATAAAACCGTTGTGTTTCGTCAACAATCTCGCTCTCAAATCTGGCAACTTGAAAATGATGTAATGCCACTCACACGCACAGGGTTTACATTATTTGTATGAAACGAAGCACGTACACAGATCGCGTTGTAGGAAGTGGGTTCTTATTGCCAACAAAGGCCTTACTCATTAAGTTGTGTTTGAAGCTACCGAAATTTATCTGATCATCTGATCGCAATTGAAAACTGTCCATAGCAATCACGGATTAATTAACAGTATAAGGCTGGTTTGTGTTGTAGAAACGATCTGTCAACGAAACGACGAAAGTATTATGAATACAAATTGCGTCTTAGAAAATATACACACATACACGCACGCATATTCATAAAGCTGCGTCTGATAAGCGATATTAAATAAATCACTGATAGCTTGCAATCAACGGATGTCAAACTCAAATATAACTTAAATAAACATAAAAAGACGCTATTCAGTAACGATATGTTTTTCCTAAACTGCGTATTAGTAAGTAAGGTCACATCGAAAACGAGGAAGATTTATTGCATTACGTTTGATAAGATTTGCTAGGGAAATTCTCCTAACGTTTGCAATCCAAAATACCTCACCTCACCCAGTCGTTATTTAATAAACACTACAATGAAAGACCAACGACACCGACATAAAAACGTTTCTAAACGAATCTTAAACTGCGCATTATGGAATCAGATCACATCTTAAACAAGGATGTATGCATTGATTTACATCTCATAAATGATGACTGAAAAAATCACCTTTGAGCTGAAATTAACGGTTGCATATCATTACTAACAATTATTTAAACAGACAAAAGTATGAGACATGATAAATGATATCCCGCCACAAGCACGCATTCACAAACAACCACGACAAAAATTGGCGCTCCAGAAGTATGAGTACCAATATGGAGGTAGCTAATTTTGTTCGCCCATTTTACATCAAGGTGTGTGAAGGGACTGGGACCTATGGACAAGGATACTTCAGAAATATGTGCACCAAAATGGCGCACAACCTGAACATAGTACGTATACCAGGGTTTGGGTTGTCCGCCATCTTGGTGCACATACTTCGGGAGTGCCGAGCTTGGGGTATATCCACTTAGATAACACAGACATTCGCCGAACTAAACTAAAATAAGGAAAATTGGAATAAAATTAAGGCCTAACCCTGACACATACTGGTACACATACAACGGGGGTACCCAAAAATATATATTCATTGAACTACGTTGATTGGTGCTAAATGTAATTACCTATAGCTAGTCATTAACGACTGCCAAACCCAATCATAGTTTTATAAACAGTAGAATACTCATAACACCCACACACATATGACTAAATACTTTAATCTAAGTTGTTAACTATCAATCATCTTGGTTAAATGAAACGATCGTGTTTTAGCATATGTCGGATCAGTCAGTAGTTTATTTTGACACATGACGAAAGCACACATTGTACAAACAGAACTAAGAAAGATAAAATTAAATGGATTCAGTGTGAAGGAAGATTCGATAAACCAGTTATAGTAATCGACCTGCGTCACCTACGAGGAAGTCACCCTTAAAAGAGGAAATCTAACTTCGTATGTACATGTAGTATTCGCAGCATGCTTTACACGTTTATTATAATTGTAATACGTATTTATGCACCTATTACAAATTTGAAACCATGTGAGTTGCGCGTACCACTAGCTAATAATCCACAAACAACTAACGAAAATATAGTTCAGACTCATACGAACGGAGAAGGAAAGATTCAAAAGAGGTAAAGGTCGGATTTGCGATTATATTGTAGGAATTAAAACTAATGAATTACTCCAAAGGGAAAGAAATGTCCAATATCTAGATGAAATGACTGTTCAAAAAAATGAGAAATTGATTATGGAAAATAGAAATGAGAGTAAAGGGAAGAACAACAGACAAGAGTCGGAAATTGACTATTGCACGTGTCTGTGTTTTTACTTCTTCACAAAATAGGTATCGACTACTTTTGTCTACAACAAATTCTTAAAAACATCCTCAACTCAGTGTGGTCCAAGGTTGCGAGATTGAAGGGCCGCAAAACATATTGCGGAGACCTTGCGGGCCGCAGTCGGGAAAACTCAATAATGATCAAAATAATGCGAGTTAAGTTACTTTAAATATATTAAAGAATGAGACTTTACCGTTCTGATTAGGCCACTGTTATGTTGCATAGGTTGCGGTGCCCGCGTGTCCGGGTTTATACCACCCTGATCTGAATATTAGTTTTATATAAAATATATTGCCTACTTTTTAGTTGTGAATTTTCTTTCTCCAGTTTGCTTTGCCTCGACATCAATCTGTTCTGTTGTTCAACGAGACGAGTCTGCTGGCTAGACAACTTCTTTTGTTGCTCTGAAACGAAATGTTGTAATCAGTATTGGTGAGGCAAGCAATAGTGATGGTTTTTAGACCAGGGGCCTAAAATTTTGCACATCTTGACTGGCGGGCCATGTAAGTGGGACGTAAAGAGTTACATTTTATGAACAGAATTTTATTTAAAGTGGTACAAAAGAAAAAGTGGAAAACAATAAGCCTCGAGCCAAAACTGAATTTAATCACAACCTCAACAAATTCCTTGAGCTATTTTTTAGCTGAAAACATCGAAATTCGGTTGTGGCAGCATCAGGCGGGCCAGATTGAATTAACTAACGGGCCGACTTTGGCCCGCGGGTCGTCGTTTGCCCATGTCAAGTCTAGATAGCGGTCATGAAAATAATTCTAAAAGCAAATTGAGTCATATTCAATTGCTTCCATCCTCAATTAGAAAATATTAGAAAATTTTTGCTTTTCTTGCTATTTACAGCGTATAAAATAGTTCTTAATTATTATTCAGTATCTATCGCGGATTATATCGTAATCCTGGCGTCGTTGATAATAATATAATTCAGTTTAGGTTGACGGTATTAATTTATAAGCAAAAATAAAATGGATGTTGACTTTAACTTTGCCCCTGTCGTAGCTAGAGTGATTGACTCAACTCGAGTCACCGATGATCAAAGCATCAAAATGACTCGAATCATATAACTTAAATGACTCGAGCACTTTCCTCTCAAAATGAATCCAGTGGGACTTGAATTAGTGAGTGACTCGACTTTGGACCTTTGACTGAAAACTTAGATGACCCATGACTCGACTCACAAATCAAATCTTGAATCAAAGTAGCACGAGTCTTCAAAATCAAATGACTCATAATCATCATCAATTAATCGCAAATAAACCTAACATGGACCTACTAAAACTATCAGAAAACCTACTATAACAGTCCAAGATCGTCAAAAAACATACTAAAACGTGCGATAATCTACTAAAACTATTAAAAAAAATTCCAACTAACCTACAATAACAGTCAAGGATTGTCAAAAAAATGACTTGCGAGAACTTGCGATTGGTATTTAGGGTGTTTTACCCATTTATAAAACGATCTAAGTGACTCGAGGTATCTGGATATAACGATTTGGACCCACCATTACCTAACAACCAATAAAAAAATAACAATGACTCAACCCAAGAATCGGATGACATTTGACTCGTCTTGACTCGCAACTTGGGGTTTAGTGATTTCTGTCGAAAGTAACATACCTGTCAAAACCTTTATTTTTTTTTCCAAATTTTTAACCATCTTTCGCACTTCCTCGTCATCTCCGTTTACTGGTGCAATAGCTAAAAGTAAGGATAACGTCATAAATATGGTTCTGAAAATTGTGTATTGAACAGAAAATCCATTCTAATTGTTTACTTCCTGCTTTGGATCCCTATGTGATTGTTGCCACAAAGGTGCTTATATACCGTCGTATCTTACAGATCTTATAGAGCATTAGATATATCTATTGACATGTGTGGTTTTCAAATTTTTATACGTCGTTTTACCTCGAACAAGGTCTTCCATTTAATCCATAAAACATATTTGGAAATATCATGAAAAGACTACCATTTTTGGAAGAACAATGATCTATTCATGTATAGGCTGAGCCAGGGGGAAGGGGGGTTGCGGGGCCATGCAAAAAAAATCGTTGGTTGGTATCAATAATCCTTTCACCAAATGAACCAACCGAACGAGATAGATAAAAATGCGCGCTTGTATACCTTGGATAACTTCGACAGCGAAAAAAGTCTGTAAAGAGATGACTTATTACTTATCGATCTTAAGATCGGTAAGTATGTTGATAAGTATTTGTCTGTTTGTTTGTTTGTTTGTCTGTTAGATACACGCGATATCTCACAAAAGCGAGGTTGAATCTGCTCCAAATTTGTGTGCATTCATCATAGTTCGGAACAGAAGCCTATTGATTTTCGATAAATTATGTCGTATAATTAGCGAGTTATTAACTAATTAGTGATGGGACACACGGTGTCACTAGGGAGTAAGAGCGCTGTTTAGGGGGATACCCTAACCTCCGATCGATAAGTCTTCGGTCTCCGACCGATATTCTCGTTAAGGTATTGTTAGATATCATTGGCTGCTTTATATAGCCTTGTTCAAAGCAAAAGGCAGGAGTAAGCCTCGTATTACGTCATTATACAAAAAAAATTTGACCTCCACCCCAAGAAAACCCTTGTTTCCAATTCCTATTATTTCCGACCTGGCACTTGTTGCCCAATTTATTAAGGAGTGGAAGTGTAAAATGTAAGTCTATGGCGAATAAGTAAGTCAGTGGCGAATAGGTAAGTCAGTGGCGAATAAGTAAGTCGATGGCGAATAAGTAAGTCAGTGGCGAATAGGTAAGTCATTGGTGATAAGTAAGTCGGTGGCGATTTGGTAAGTTTAAAAAACGTATGTAAGCTTAGTAAATCTTAACAACCGCTAGTTCTCACTTTTCAATCTTTCATTTTCCTCTTCCAAATCCTTTTGTCTTTCGAGCAAGTCTGATTGCTGAGCTGTAAATAAAAACGTAAGCGAAGTTAGGTGATGCAAAATATGATTTTTTTGCGGTATTTGTAACTGTCCATATTCACAGAGAATGAGAATTAAGTTTGTTTCACTCTATGTCTGCACCACTGTTAAAAACGACCTAAATAACTCATTCTCAACTTTTCAATTTCAACAAATTTCTTGAGCTACTTTTAAATAAATATCAAAATTTTGTTTTTTTTTGGTTGTGGTAGCATCAGTCGGGCCAGATTGAATTACCCAATAGGTCGTCCATGTTAGCTATAATGCGATGAAAAACAAAAGACATTGCAGCATTTATCCATTATCGGTTTAAACTGAATGAGAAATGCATAAACTCGAAACACTTTCATATGATTTTTAACAAATTTAATGATTGCTCTCTTTTTCACTTACATTTTAATTTTCTGTTTTCGAATTCGAGTTTTTGTTGTTGCTTCAATAAATCGTGCTGTTGGGCAATCAATTCCGCTTGGTGATCTGAAAAATAATTTAATACAAATTGAGAAAAGTGGTTCCATTACATTTGCACCCACGGACATTTGCACCCGTAATTTGAACTCACAACAATTGCACCTGCATACTATGGCACCTATGGAATTTTTTTCCGGACGTTTGAACCAATACTAATCCTAACCCATGGTTTTTAGCACCCGCATATAGATTGAACCCGCGGATATACCGGTGCAAATGTAGGGGTTCAAATTACGTGGGTGCAAATGCACGGTCACCGAGAAAAGTGTCGAGAAGTATAGACTTCAACAACTTCAGAATATAGAAAGTTTATATATATAAGACTGTTATATCAACGCTGAACTTTGTCCTAATAAAAACTCACCGTTCAGTCCTTTCATTTTATTCTGCATTTCATCCCAAAGCTCTTCAAATTCGTCATCAATAAAATTGCTGGTTGTCATCCCCTTAACAAAAAATTGTTACAGACTGAAATTTTTTGAAAACGAAATGGAACTATGGATAATTTTTCTAAATTATCATCTATGTTGTTGTTGTTGTTATTGTAAAGGACCTTTTTATACATAGGCTTATGTCAAGTATATCTTATATATAAGTATATATTAATTATAAAAAAAATCATCCCGGCAAGTTAGGGCAGATTTTTTGGTACTCCCGTAGTGTGTGAACCAGCTTAGGGTTAGGCCATAATTTTATTCCGATTTTATCTATTTTAGTTCTATTGCGAGTTCTGCGTCTGTGTTAGCCAAGTGAATATACCCCCTGTCCATAGGTTTCGGTTCTTTTACACAACTTGATGTGAAGTAGGCGAACAAAATTAGTTACCTTTATATTGGTGCACACACTTCTGGAGCGCCGAATATTTTTTAGTTTTCGTTTTCCGATTCTTTTAGTTTCCAAGTTTTAATTTTCTCTTGCAACTAATATACCCAATCGATACAAACATTTCAGTAATGGGAAATAGTAAAACGCCCTATTATTTTTGTATTAAAACAAATCACACGTCATTTTGTATTGCTCGACAATGCTGATATTTAAGTTTTGCTTTGTTTTGTAATTATGTACTATTATTGATACCATCGGTTGGAATAAAGCACATCCAATATTAGTTCAAAAAACAAAACGCAGCTACTTGTTATTTGAACTACTTTATAGAATCGTTAACTGCGTAGTTTAAAATGATTGGAATTGGAGAAAGAATTTCTACACTCTATTGTAAGCACAACTGGTTAAAAGCATCACGTTTGTTGGTATTTTAAACAAAATAAATCCCACAAATTTGCTGTATAATTAAGTTCATACATTGTAAGCAATAATATGGAGCAGTTACAACCTTTCAGGGCCGTTCAGCACGTTTTTTATTGAGGGGGGGGGGGATCCAAGATGTAAAGTGTATCACACAAATTATTTTTGAAGTGAGGTATATGGAGAACATTTATCAGAAACTCGCCCCGGATAAGAGAAAAGTTCGCACGTCTTTGGTTACAACGGACTTACATGTTTTATATATGCAACAAGTACCGTTTTGCAAGTGTACTGTATTCATTGACAATACGGTAACTTTTAAACGCTTTTTTTTTAACTCTTGTTATCAAAATTGCGGATTAATTCTTTGAAAAATATGTTTATCAACTATTTCGCCAGTTTTCGTGCGCCTGTTTTTTAAATTATGCTAAGTTGAAAACATGTTTTGACTTAACTTATGTGTTTGTATTCATAGCTGTTTTGTATCATCAAAAGCCATCACAAACCACATACCATATTTTAGAAAACAACGTAAATATTTGTATTTATGCTTGGACTCGGAAGATTATAGAATAACTGATAGAAAATTTAAAAATACTATTAAACATTTCATACAATTATATTCAATTCGTGGATTTTAAATATCTTGCTCTTGTTACAGAGTTAATTCCGCGGGGAGCGCCAAGAGGAGTGTGGACGATTTTTGAGGCGGCATAAAGCTAATCATTAATAAAATTATTTGGTAAATTTGATCTTTCCCGCCTTATTTTGGATATTAACATTTCTTTATTGTTTAGAGATTGCAGAGAGCTCTTGTACTTGTGTTTTTGATATCTGTTCCATCCTCGTATTTTTAACGTGTTTTTAGAATGAAACATACCTTTGCCCAACCATTTGTTATTTGTAGTTTATTGTCAGCTAGTTATTTTTTGGTGGGGCGCGAGACTTGACAAATTCTAAAAAGCTGGCGCGGCTTAAAAAGTTCAGAACCACTGCTTTAGTGACTTTTCCCATCTTTAAGTTCCGGAAATTTGATGTCGCTTGTCCTATTAAGTTCCGAATGATAATTATTTCAACAACAGAAATAATTTAGCAAAACTATTCATATGTGCACTTCGAAACGAATCATGATGGAATTAAGAAAGTGTGATGCAATACGCCTGCCCCGTGTTGCAAGTAAACAAACAATGACGTGCCGTTACGTAACGTCTAGCTAAAGCTCGTATCAAATATGTCGCAATTATTAAACCACGACCATTCACACCTTTTGCTTCGGAAAAGACCATATACAACCAGCCATTGGTATTTATCTGATTTTGAAATATTCACAGATCGATATTGCCTACTAGACCAAACGGCCCACAGGGCAAAAAATGTGTTTTTTATTTTATTTAATCTGGTACGTGGAGGTAATTCCAAGACTATACCTGAGTCCAATTTATGGTCTATCCCTATGACGTTACAATGCCATAACAGCTATAGCTTGTGCAAAGCGAACAACACATGTCATGAAATCAATTCCCAATAGTTTTCTGCCTGCAACTAGAGAGCCTATGTTAAATACAGGTGCGGCCACCAGGTGGTATTTGTATTTGGCCCTCCTACATTCCTGTATTAGATCATACCCAGATTTGATTAATTTATTGAATTTAGAATTTTCCAAAAGAATCATCAGGAAAGTGACAATCTGGTTCGAGTTCGATCGCTCAAATCATTCCCTTGTACTTGTTTATACTTACTTGATCAGATTTTGCGCCGCTTGGATCTCTAAATTCGCAAGGTAACTCGCACTTGTCTTTTCTGGCGCATGTTTTATCCATGAAGCAGACAAGTCTTGTTTTTGACTTCGACTTTTCCTCTGTCTGTTCTTTGAGTGCTATGTCTTGTCCTACTACCACGGACAGACCAACACACAGACAAATAAATACACTTTGAAAATTCATTTTGTGTACCATTTTGTGTAAGTCTATATTATTTTTCAACTGAAAACCAAACATAATATCGCATGAGAATTATATAGAGATGAGCCAACCTTGACTTTAAAACTTGGAAGCTACAAAAGTCAGGGAAGGAAAACTAAAAATAAAACGCCTAAACTTGTCGAGATGATCTTCATATACTGCCAAATTTACTTTAAAGGTGCGTAGCAAGGAATTTAGAAAGGGTGGAAAGGTTTTCTGAAATTTATAACTTCCAAGTTAGACCGTACCTGCTAGCGGGCCAGGCCGGAGGTTTGAGTCTCGAAGGTCTAAATAGCTACAAAAATGTATCGTACAGAAAAATTCATATTTTTTCACAATTCAAAATCGAGGTTCCGACCCCATATCCCCCCGAATTGGCTACGACCTTGATACTTGACATAATCTATACAAAACCTTGTAACCGAAATTTATTCAACCTCTAATGGATTATCTAGTGATACGAACAACTCTAACTCAGGCTTATAAAGAGTTTGACCAGAATGTGTGTATAAATAGGAATTACGATAATACTACAAATAACTGAACAATATTGGTATAATTACACATAATATTAAGTAATATTCCCGACGCTGCTCGGTAACCATTACTGATTTATCGCGTCTCCCTTCACACTGAAATGCATTTTTTCATTTTTCCTGATTATGTTTGTACAAAGTGTACTTTCGGAATATGACTACTTCGGAAAATAGCTACCGACCCATATTTCAGTGAACAAAATCCGTATTGCCGCACTTTCCGTTTCAATGTATTGTAAACAAGCGATTTATGGTTAAAAATATCCATTACTTCATCGCTTCGAGGCAAATTGAATGTTTATAGAACATTCTAGTGAAAATTTGTGGCTTCATGACATCTATGTGAATTGTATATGACCTTGTATTGTTTTAAGAGAAGAGATAACGCGTTAATATTGCTAAATGGGCGTTTAAAGTTGTATTTCAAGTTTGATACCATCGATTATACTCCCTAATTATACTTTCTCTCGCAGAATTAATGTTAAAAGTTGTATGTTGAGTTAGGGTTTTTAAATAAATGAATGTTCGAGATGGGCATGTTTTGAGATTGCGTTTACCGACCAATTCGATAAGATGGGTACAAAAAAGTATTTGATTAATTAGTAACTAAAGTTATTAATTAACAAATATTAGTCTAGCTTTTTGTATTTCAATCATACTTTTTTTAGCATTGAGAAGGAATATTATCCGTACCATATATAGTTTCTACAGGTTTATTGACTGAAGTAAAATCTTTAATAAAACCTGATTTAATTAACCATTGTTTCCCAAGCTTTTCGATAAGTTCGACCCTTTGCCTAGCTTTGAACTATTATTTCTCCCTCGCCATGCATAAAAACTGTTTCCATTTGTTATTCAATCTATAGGGTGTCCATAAAGTCTTAAAAAAATTGAAAATTGCGAAGAGAATTCATCTTTACAATATATATATATATATATATATATTGTTTTGGCCCTCACAGATGTATTAAAATTGAATGAAGTAAAAATACTTACAATTACCGATTAAAAAACAATAAACCTGTGAGAACTGACTTTATAACAAAATTGAAACTGTAAAGAGACTTTATGGACACCCTGTACAATAATGAATCATTACGTTGTGATACTCGCAACCTGAAATCTAGTTTTCGTACGGTTTGAATAGTTAATGTTTCTATAAATATGTATCATAACATAAAGTATCATCAACAGCCCAAACCTAAAAATAGTTTTTTTTTTCAGGATTTTCATAAACTCCACTAAATACAAAGTGATTTACCTCCATAAGACCATGAAAATTCCTCGCTGAGAGAAAACCCTTCCCTGGTTTGGAAACGTCGGATTAAACCGTCATAACAAAATTTCAATATTGCATTTTAATTTTTACTGGCAATTAGTTAAGAACGAGTCATTTTATTAAATTCAATGACTTGAGTAACTTCGAGACTTTGATTAATGGTACTTCGACTCCAAAACGAGTACATGATTACAGTCTTTCCCAAGAATTAAACTGAATCTGGAAAATTTGGAATTTCACGAGGACCCTGTATTTCTCAAACATGAACGGTAGATTCGATTATAAACAGTGGAAAATATGACACCCCACTCTCTATTCTTCAACATCGATAAAATATAATTCCTGGATCAATATCATTTTGAACACCTCGTCTTACGCTGTTCTTAATCGCTAATCGCTAACTTGAATGCTTGGGTTTGCAGGTTCTTGCCCTTTTATAAAGATGTCGTTGAGAGAATAAGAAGTAAAAAAATTCAGAATCGGATTTAAACAGATTTAAAACAGTTAAGTCATTGTTCTTACGATCGGTTGTAAATTTGCATATTGTGATAATTTTAATTAATACCGACCACATGAACCGATTACGATGTTGAATAAATAGAAAGTTGCTGAAGGCGTAACCAGATAGGTGTGTCGCATTAAAACACTCTCAAGTCATCCGCAACGTTAACACACTAAAATGTGGCCAGAATATATTGTCCTTTTGTTGATGTGAAATATTCTGTCTGTCTACTACAGTGGTACTCAACCAGTGGTGCGCGGAAGCTTTTCAAGAGGTACGCGAGCAGCGTTGAGGTATTGCAACAATTAACTTTTAAGTTGGGTAACCCATACGGTATGTATTCGCTGAGCGGCGTTTACAGCGCTTCCAGTTCTTTTTTCAGAGATCGCCCTCGTCCGTTTTGCAAGTTACGTCACAAAGGATGTCGCACCACATTATCAAAGACTCCCATTCCCATATCGCTTTTTTGCGCGATTGTTCCCTACACCCCAAAAAAGGGTTTTGTCGCGGGTACGTGGTCAGGGTAAAAACAGTAAAGTGGTTTATAATATATCTATTCATACGCATTACAAGAATACTATTTTGATGTTCTTGGTGAGGAAATAACTAAAAATAATTTGTGAAACTACACAAAATAAAGAGTGATATTTCCTCCCCAAGAACATCAAAATCCACACCGGTTGAGAAACGTTGGGTACAACCTTCATAACAAAATTACAATTTTAACGGAATTTCATGTACATTTCAAGGAACATATTCAAACCTGCCGTCATTTTGCAATGAAAATTAACATTGCAATCTCTCATATTTGGCCTTGATCCATTTTATCTGTTTGGAACTCGAATCATGTATTTCTCTAACAGGAACGGTGGATGTGAGTATAAACTGTGGAAAATATGACACCCCAATATTTTTCTGGATGAATATCATTTCAAATATCTCTTCTTACGTTGTTCCTCATCACTAATAGCTAACTTGAATGCTAGGATTTGAATGTTTTTTGTCTTTTTATACGCTCAAAAAATTGGAAGTAAAAAAACTACATAATCGGATTTAAAACACTGGCATATAACAGTTAAGTCGTTGTTCTCCCGATCGGTTGTAAATTTGCATATTGTGCTAATTTTATTACCGATCACATGGACCGATTACGATGCTGAATAAATAGAAAGTTGCTGAATGTGTAACCAGATAGGTGTGTCGCATTAAAACACTCTCAAGTCATCCGCAACGTTAACACACTAAAATGTGGCCAGAATATATTGTCCTTTTGTTGATGTGAAATATTCTGTCTGTCTACTACAGTGGTACTCAACCAGTGGTGCGCGGAAGCTTTTCAAGAGGTACGCGAGCAGCGTTGAGGTATTGCAACAACTTTTAAGTTGGTAACCCATACGATATGTATTCGCTGAGCGGCGTTTACAGCGATTCCAGTTCTTTTTTCAGAGATCGCCCTCGTCCGTTTTGCAAGTTACGTCACAAAGGATGTCGCACCACATTATCAAAGACTCCCATTCCCATATCGCGTGTTTGCGCGATTGTTCCCTACACCCCAAAAAAGGGTTTTGTCGCGGGTACGTGGTCAGGGTGAAAACAATAAAGTGAATCGCGGTCAGTGAAAAGTTGAAGACCACTGGTCTACTCCGTAATCACAAGATTTACTGTACTCAAATAAAGTCATCACATGATATATCGCGATAATCATCCTGTCAAATGGCTACATATTTTGTCATATATACATTTCCAGCGGAATGTCAAATTAGATTTATTATATATATAATATATAGATAATGTATAGTATATTACATAACGCTTTACCGTAATTTACATACAGTTTTTGTTCGGTTGCTTACATAATATACGTATCTACGGGATTAGATCATAGATAAAAATATAAGCATCATACACCGACTAATCCCAATGCAGTCGAAATTTACAAATAAATATCTATTTATGGGGGGTATGACGTCCTTAGCTTCAAATTGCTAAATTTGGCAGATATTTTTACAATGTTTTTGGTTTGATGGGCAAGGTGACGTATTGGGTTGGGTCATAATGACGTCATAGATTATATCTTTCCACTCTGCACTTTTTCAACTATACCAAAACCTAACGCAACATTTATATTTCCCTATTGATATCAATTTAAACGGGATTTCACAAACATCATGTACATGAACATCAAGTACGTTTAATTCGAGTATAAACGACGGAGAAAATGACGCTCGACTCTCTATTCCCAAAAGTCGATGAAATATGATTTTTCTGCATCATTTTTATTATATATCCCAACTTACGACTAAGTTGTTCGTCATCGATGATCGCTAACTTCAATTTTTAATCTAGACCAAACCTAACGCAATATTTTTGATTCCTCTATTTAAGTCTTTCCAGAAGGAAACCGATTGCTTTATTCGCATGATTTATATGTGAAATATGAATAATTACAATATATAATAACTTTTTTTGCGTCTCTGGGAAACGCAGTTGCTTGCGATTACTAAAAACGTGTATTTTACATATAGTCTCGAGTTTCAAACGGCGCCATCCCAACTTGAGCTGTACAAACTGTTTACCGAGTAACGGAATTCACTTCTCGGAATACATTCAGAATTTCAAGTACCATTATTATATAAAATAAAAAATTCACCTTCAAGCCATTGAGATAGACACTGTCGTGAATTTTACTGTCGCGTTTGCGCGTGT